GCCAAGGAAAGGATGAAGGGAAAATCTTCCAAGCACTCCATTCATACTTACCCCCTCCTTTGATATTAGATTATTTACTATCTGGAGTTGCGATGTGAAGTGACTGCGGGGAATCTGGTGTGAACAAGCCACCAAGCCATTCGTTCAGCTGAACCAGCTCATGCGCAGAAAGCAGCGGTGCAGCAGCGTCACTACCTAGCAGTCAGTAGGGAAGCAGACACTAAACATGTTTGCAGAGCAGCTTGAAAAGTGCAGTGGTATAGACTCAGGAAAATGTACCTACCTGGAGAGGAAACGAGTTTTCATGGATGTATGAGAAAGGTTTCAGATCGGAAGTCTGTGGGATGTATGGAATTTGCCACGTGGAGAAAGGAGGTTTAGGCTAACAGACCAGCATGCACGGCGCAGGAATACGAAAAGAATGGAGTGCCTGGGGAAGAGCTCGCAGCTCACTATGCCTGTGTCCTTAGGTCAGAGAAGGAAGATGTTACGGGAACCGGGGAATAGGATGAGAGGAAGCCAAATTTTGAAGTTCCTCTATTACAGTAGAATTCAGAGTTATTTCTCTCTCTTTTTTTTTAAGATTTATTTTATTTATACAAGAACTGGGGTACAGGTCAGAGGCACGGGAGTGTGAGAGGATTCACCAGAGAAAGAGTGGGGAGCAGAACAGGCAGATCTACTGAGATACACTACTGAGGGGAGCAGCAGGCGAGACAGGAGAGGTCTGCCGTGCCAAGTGAGTATCTCTCTGGCTGGCTGGGAATCAAACCTGCGCTACAGAGGCTGCGGACAGCTTCACGGTGCTGCGCTCAACTCGCTACACCACTGGGGAGGCCCTAGAATAGTTATTTCTTGGTGCTTCCATTTAAGTCTTTTTAACCAGAGAGAATACTGGTTTTTTTTTTGATGAAAGTCTTTTCGAAATGTAATGCGAGATAATCACATAAGATTCACTCATTTAAATTGTACAATTTGACAGCTTTTTGTACATTAACTTAAGTTCTGTAACCATCGCGATGTGATTCCTTAGCATTTTCATGCCTGCCTGTCCTGTCAGTCCTCATTTCCTGTTCTTCTCCCAGACACACAGCTCTAAGCAGCCGCCTCTCTAGTTTTTAATCTCGAGATTTGTCTTAATGTGGGTTTTGTGTATCTGACTCTTTTCTTAACATAATGTTTTCAAGGTTAAGCCATGGGTTGGCATCTGTCAGTCCATTGTTCTTTCTGATTCCCATTTGTCAGTGGATGGACATTTGGGTTGTTTCCACTTTTTGGTTCTTAAAGCACGGCTGTTAAATATTCATGTACATGCTTTTATGAGGAGGTATGTTTTCATTTCTTTTGAGTGAAACTTCTGAATCATGGTAACTGGCCATTTGTTATTTTCTTTGGTGAAATGCCTGTTTAAGTCCTTTGCCTATTTTTTTTTCAAAGATTGATTTATGCATACAACAACTGGGGTACAGGCCAGAGGTGTGGGCGTGGTGAGAAGATTTCACCAGAGACAGAGCGGGGAGCACAACAGGCAGACCGACTGAAGTCATTGCTGAGGGGGAGCAGCAGGTGAGGCAGGAAAGGTCTGCCGCACTATGTGGGTATCTCCCTGGCCAGCAGGAATTGAACCTGCTCTGCAGAGGCTGCGGACAGCTTCACAGCACAGCGCTCAACCTGCTGCGCTGCCGAGAGGCCCCATTTGCTTATTTTTAATTTAGTTATTTGCCATTTCATTGAGTTATACATAGTTTGTAAATACATTCTCCCATTCTGTGGATTGTCTCTTAACTTTCTTATTGGTAGCATTTGAAGCATAAAAGTCCAATTTGTTTGTTTATCTTTTTTTTTTTTTAAAGAGAGGCTTTTTTTTTTTTTTTTTAAGATTTATTTATTTCTACAAGCACTGGGTACAGTCAGAAGCGCGGGAGGGTGAACCAGAGCCAGAGCGGGGAGCAGAGCAGGCAGAAGGACCGAAGTACACTGCTGAGGGGAGCAGCGGGCGGCAGGAGAGGTCTGCGCGCCATGTGGGACCCTCCTCCGGAGGCTGGGGAGCAGCCAGTGATTGAACCGGCGCTGCAGAGGCTGCGGGCAGCTTCGCAACCCAGTGCTCAACCGCTGCGCCACTGGGGAGACCCTGTTTATCTTTTGTTGCTTGTATCTTTGATGTCATATCTGAAAATGTATCACCTAATCCAAGGTCATAAAAATTTTCTCCTATATCTATTCTAAGATAAAACTTTATAGTTTTAACACTTACATTTGGACTGTGATTATTTGGGATTTTAGTGTAGGTTATAAAGAAGTGTTCTATAACTTCACTCTTCTGTATGTGGATATTTAGTTGCTAACGCCATTTGTTGAAAAGAATATTCGTTGCACATCAGTGTCTTGGCATTTTGTTTTGTTTTGAGGTGAAAGTCACATAACAGCAAGTGACCCATTGTAGAGTGTTCAACTTAGTGGCAGATGGTACAGTCACAAGGTTGTGCGGTCATCACTTCTCTAGTTCTAACAATATACTGAAGCAGGTAGAACTAAAAAGTTTCATCATTTTATTTTTATTTTTAAATTATGTCTTTTTTTTTTAAGATTTATTTATTCATGCATACTAGAACTGGGGTACAGGCCAGAAGTGTGGGAGGGTGAGAGGATTCACCAGAGACAGAGTGGGGAATAGAACAGGCAGATTGACTGCAATACACTGCTGAGGGGAGCAGTGAGCGAGACAGGAGAGGTCTGCTGCACCATGTGGGTATCTCGCTGGCCAGCCAGGATAGAACCGGCACTGCAGAGGCTGCAGACAGCTTCACAGTGCTGCACTCAACCTCCTGCACCACCAGGGAGGCCCAAGTTTCATCATTTTAAAAGAACTTCAATACCTACTCCACAGTGATTTTCCATTTCCCCCTCTTCTAAACCCTTGGCAGCTGCCAGTCTACTTTGTGTCTCTCTAGATTGGCCTAGTCTGGATTAATTGACTTAAGTGAATTCACACCATGTGATTGTATCTGGTTTCTGTTACTTAGCATGTCTTCAAGACTCATTCACACGGTAGCCTATGTCAGTGCTTCATTCCTTTACCTGAAAGGCTTCCTACCGTAGAGGTCTGCCACGTTTTTTTTATCCATTCTTCTGTTGATGGATATTTGCTTTTAATGTTTTATATTTTATGCTGTTACTTCAAGACTTTTGACCTTTTATGTCAGCTTTATTCTATAGTTGCAAATTCACAATATAAGGAACACGAATGGAGAGCCATTACTTCCTAGTCTTCGGAGTGATGACATTCATGCATCAGTTTTCTGTTTATCACAAAGGAAGCACTTAGTAATTATTAGTGTCTTTGACCTGTAATTTCTTTTATTTACCACCTACTTTCAAATTGCTTTATAACCATTGTCTCATTTAAGCCTCACAAGAACATTGAATAACATGCATACATACATAGGCCATTTCTAAAATTGTTCTCATTTTGCAGAAGAGAATATTGATGATTGCCACTTTCCTAAAGTTATATAGCAGGTAGATGACAGAATCTAATGCAACTATAAGAAAATACTCTGTGCAAAAAGCTTTAGCTCCTGTGCTCTGAGACAATGTTTGATTCTTAGTTATCCAGAATTATTCAGTGAAAGATAATTATGCATACCTATTCTTTTTGTATGACATTTGAAAATTAATTTAGAATCTGTTGTAGTTTAAGCTCCAGTTTTACTATTGGTGCTTTCATCGCTGTATACCGGAAACTTTCATCTTTCAGTGCAACGAACTCTAGCACAAGAAGAGCCATGTACATTTCAGTTTTAGTCATCATTATACACTCTAGCATTATCTACCCAGAGCAACTGTAGGTTCTCAATAAAATATTTTGAGTGAATGAGTGAACAAAGTATATTGTATGTTCTACTAGCTGTGTGACCTGCCTCTGAATTTCTTTTTTTTTTTTTTTTTTTTTTATAGAGGCATGTTATTTATTTATTTATTTGTTTGTTTGTTTTGTTCACACATGCGCTGGGTATAGTCAGAAGCGCGGGAGGGTGAGAGAATTCACCAGAGCCAGAGCGGGGAGCAGAGCAGGCAGAGTGACGAAGTACACTGCTGAGGGGAGCAGCGGGCGGCAGGAGAGGTCTGCACGCCATGTGGGACCCTCCTCAGGTGGCCGGGGAGCAGCCGGGGATCGAACTGGCGCCGCAGAGGTCGCGGGCAGCTTCGCAACCCAGCGCTCAACCGCTGCGCCACCGGGGAAACCCTGCCTCTGAATTTCTTAATCGCTACTGAACAGTCCTCTTAATCTTACAGATTTTGAATGAATACACATAATAAAAATTCTTATAGTTGAACGCTTACATTTACTAGAGTATCTTTCATTTATATTACCTTGTTACATGTGGCAGGGACTATTTTTAATCTGCATTGTGCAGATGAACATGCCAAAACATAAAAGCTAGTAAGGTGCTAGGTAGCGGCCCAAGTCATAGCTGTGCTGTGTTATAACATTCACTAAAATTTAATTACTTTAAAATATCCTAATACTGATAAGATGTATTTGATAACTTCAGATTTGGTAGATGCAGTCTCTGAAGTGTGACTATACATTTCTGTCAATCTAAAATTTATGTTTGTGTTTACTATTTCTAGTAGTTTGATATCTGTTCTTTTCTCAGATGCCTTCACATGTGCTTGATTAAATTTTTTCCAATTTTTTTTAACTTTTAGTATGCTTTTATTTTTTTAACTGAGGAAATATTGGGGAACCCCCATCAGGTGTTACCACCTTAGTGCACCCACTACCCTTTTACCCATGGTCCACCCCCATTGTCCATTGTGCTTCCTTCCCTCTTTGTTCTTAACGTTTTTGAAAATGTCTTAATTATTAGTCATTTTATTTTTGTACTAGAGTTAGGGATTTCCTAGTTCAGCATAACCTCTTTTTCACAATTGCTCGAGGCTGCTATACAGTGCAACTTCCTTTTTAACTTAGTAGATACTGTGTTTTCCTCTAGGTGTTGACAGCTCCTCTACTACAAGCAGTGCGTCTCCAGTGCCCAACAGTTATGACGCCCTGGAGGGAGGCAACTACCCAGGTAATGTGTTCTGTGCTACTGGGGTCTGTTTGAAATGTCATGACCATCAATTGTCTTTAAACGGCAAATATATATCACACATAATTAGGAAGCCTGTTTTAAAACAACACAAAGCAGAAAAAGGGGCATTTTCCCCATACTTCTAGGCCTTAATGGTATTCATTGCTGTGTAACAACTATGAATGTTGTTTCTGGGTGGCCAGAGGAAATTTATTTTTTCTTTTTGTTACCATGCTGTTTATCTTTTTCCTCTTCCTTTAGTAGTGAATCGTTTTTCCCTCTACTTTTCCCCTCCTTTTCTTTTTTAATTTTTTTTTAATAGAGGCATGTTTTATTAATTTTATTTATTTGTTTGTTTATTTGTTTTGTTTATACATGCACTGGGCACAGTCAGAAGCACGGGAGGGTGAGAGAATTCACCAGAGCCAGAGCGGGGAGCAGAGCAGGCAGAAGGACCGAAGTACACTGTTGAGGGGAGCAGCGGGCGGCAGGAGAGGTCTGCGCGCCTTGCGGGACCCTCCTCCGGTGGCCGGGGAGCAGCCGGGGATCGAACCGGAGCCGCAGGGGCCGCGGGCAGCTTCGCAACCCAGCGCTCAACCACTGCACCACCGGGGAGGCCCTCCCCTCCTTTTCTTATGCTAATAATTCCTTAAATAAATAAATTGTATATTTAGGTTCTCATGCTCAGTTCTTGAGTTCCTTCCAACTAGCCTATGAATATAAATAGTCTTTGATTCTCTACTCCCATGGCTCCTGGCTGCCTCCATCAGGCAAATAGGTTAAACCACCTTGGCAATAGGTTTTAGAGGCATTACTTTAACTGTATCTTGAAATAACTTGGTCATTACATAGGATCAGGAGTGGATGGTATTAAGAGAAAAATATATATGAGCTTAACTTTTAAAATTAACAGTCATTTCATTATAATATCTTATGCTGTGATTTTCCTTGTTCACCTTTCTCCTGTCACTAATAGCCTGATAGCCACACATATCCTCCCCTTTCTCTCTCTTATGCTAATGATCTCATACTTCAGGACTAACAGAGCAAGACATTTTGCTCTTTACTGCTTAACTGTTTGATAATAATCCAGGAAGAAGCTTAATTGAAGTTGCAGAATGCTGTACTTAACTAAATACACTATCTTGCTACCACTGTCCTATGAATCAGTCAAAATCTTTAGTCTCAGCTTAGTTTAAAATTCCCTTTTTTTAAAAAAAATATTTATTTATTTATACAAGCACTGGGTACAGTTAGAAGCACGCGAGGGTGAGAGAATTCACCAGAGCCAGAGCGGGGAGCAGAGCAGACTGACGAAATACACTGCTGAGGGGAGCAGCGAGCGCAACAGGAGAGGTTTGCGCGCCTTGTGGGACCCTCACCAGCGGCCCGGGATCGAATCGGCGCTGCAGAGGCTGCAGGCAGCTTCACAGCCCAGCGCTCAACTGCTGCACCACCGGGGAGGCCCTAGAATTCCCTTTTCCTATCAAGAATACCAAATAAGCTACTAAGTTTTTTTATGGTTAAGAATTTTCTATGCCCCTCTGTGTGTGTGTGTGTGTATGTGTGTGTGTGTGTGTGTGTGAGTGACAGACAGACAGACAGACACATTTGAACTGTACAAATGTATGAAACAGTGTCTCTTTCCTGAAGAAGACCTCCATGTCTCTGACACTGGGTCCTCATTTCTCATGCTGTCATAGTAAGAGACTTTACAACTTGTGTCCCAGTCGCCCTGAGGAGGGCCCAACTGTTGTTGTGTGATACAGCTCAAAGGCAGATAGCTTGATGTCTCTGTTTCTCTTTAATTTTCTCAGAATTGTTTTTGCTCTCTGAGGCCTTATATGGGTCCCATATAAGTTTTAATGTTTTTTGTTCAATTTCTCTGGAGGATATTGTTGTTCTTTAATGGGGATTGTATTATATATTGTATTTATTAGTACAGCCATTTTGCCTATGTTGATTGATTCTCCCCATCCATGAGCTAGGAATATTTACCATCTTCTTATAATCATGTTCTTAAGCTATCTATAAAATTCTTTAATAGCATCTTATAGATTGCGTTGTCTAAGTCTTTCACATCCTTGGTCATGTTGATTAGATTTTCTAGGTTTTTGTTTGAGGTTTTTTTTTTTTTAAATATACTCTTTTTTTTTTTTCTTTTTAAAGATTTATTTATTTTTATACAAGAGCTGAGGTATAGGCCAGAGTCAAGGGAGAGTGAGAGGATTCACCAGAGACAGAGCAGGGAGCAGAACAGGCAGACGACCGAAATATACTGCTGAGGGAAGCAGCAGGCCAGACAGGACAGGTCTGCTGCACCATGTGGGAATCTCCCTGGCTGGCTGGGAATCGAACCCGCGCTGCAGTGGCTGCGGACAGCTTCACAGCGATGGGCTCAACCTGCTGCGCCACTGGGGAGGACCTGTTTGTTTGGGTTTTAACCGAATTTTAGTTTTTGTTAAAATTTATGTAAGGGAAGAGCATTTAGCTTTATTTGACACATATTACATGCCAGACTTTGTTTTAGAAGCTGGATGTTATTCTAGATATTGTCACACTTTTCATGGTACAGATGATGCATGCTTCTAGGGGATTTTGGGAAATACACTACTCTCCATGGACTTCCTTTTATAGATGGTGGGATCTGATGAAAGAGAGTCAAAGAGTAGGTGACACCTTTTTTATTGGTCTGCTTAGTTTTCTGCTTCTCATCGCCATTTCTGCTGAGAATAAAAGGAAAAATAGCTGTATCTTATATTTATATAATTTTTTATGTTATTAAGACCAAAGTATCTATATTGGCAAAAGGATGTAAAATACAGGATTGCCTTACAAATAATCTTTATAAATAAAAATGGGATGGAACGTAAAACAAGAATAGCAAAATATTGATGATTGTTGAAACTGAGTGATCAGCATATTGGGTTCATTATTCTGTTCCCTCCTTTTGTTTACATTAAAATTTTCTCTTAAGAAAAAGTCAAAAAGAAAAAGGGAAATGCCTAAAATTAGGACACACCAGGAGCCATCTTTATTATAGAGTGAGCCCTGATTAGCAGGGGTGAACATCTCCTTTTTCCTCTGTTAGATATGCTTTCGTCATCAGCAAGCAGTCCTGCTCCGGATCACGCGCCTGAACCCGACCCAGTGCCAGCTGCAGCTGCCACAACTTCTCAGCCTTCGAAAATGGTGAAACCTTTTGGGTATGGTTATCCGACTCTTCAGCCTGGCTACCAGAATGCTGCAGGACCACTTACTTCTGGACCACAGCCCAGCAACCCAGTGTATTCTGGATTTCAGCAGTATGCGCAAGTGTGTATTTAGTCCTACAAATACATCACATTTCTTAAAGTTGTGGAATTCTGACAAATCCCTGATGTTTCAAAAGGATCATAGGTACAAACACAGATAAGCTGAGATCAAACATCCCGAGAATTTGATTCCAGTTTTTTTAATATATGCATATGTGATAAAAGATAAAATGAAATATGAATACCAACCTGTTGAAGAGGTTAAATCTGAATCAAGAGGATAGCTATGATTTTTCTTTCCTTTACTCTTCTTCTGTTTTTCAGGATGTCTCCAATGCACAAGTATTAACATTTATTTCCTTATAATTAAGTTTTTAAAATTTTTATATTACTCAGCTGGCTTTCTCCTCACAAATGACTTATTAATGTGGTTTGGGATTTGGGTCCCAACATGTAATTGGAAGAAATCTCTAACATTTAGCTGAGATTCGTGGAAGTCTCCGTCCACACAAATGTTTATCAGTACTTGAGCTCAGTAACTACTGCTGTGCTGAGGGCTGACCTGGTTCTTTTTGGACTCACCTCTGAAATACCGTATCAGTTTAAGAGTCAGAGCAGTAGGTTAGCTATTCCCGCCTTTACATCTTCCACAAATTCACACATATTTATTGAGAAGAGAATAAAATATTAGGAATTGACTTAAATGGCAAAAGCATTCTACTTAAAATGAAAAACTGCTATTTGTAGGCTAACCTTTGAAAATGTATCTTATGGTGAATTAAGAAAGAAAAATAGAGGGGAATAGGAAAATTGTTTTTGGAGTTTGAGAATTGAGGTGCAGGAGGATAGTGAGAGAAATAGAGAAGTGTTGTTGGTTGATACAGATTTCCCACCTTCTATTTCATAGATTTTCTTTTTTGGTCCAGATGAAACACTTTTATAGTCTTTTTTTTTAAAACTGAAATAACTTTGCATTATTATAGTCATTCTTGTTTTATCCTTGTGTTTAGGCAAATTCCTATTAGTTTAGTTCCACATTTTTTTTAAAGATTTGTTTTATTTATGTATACATATAGGAGCTGGGGTATAGACCAGAGATGCAGAGGGTGAGAGCATTTATCAGGGACAGAGTGGGGAAGCAGAACAGGAGGATTGACTGAAATACACTACTGAGGGGAGCAGTGGGCGAGACAGGAGAGGTCTGCTGCACCACTTGGGTTAACTCCCTGGTCTTGGATCAAACTTGTGCTGCAGTGCCTGGCAATAACTTGATAGTGCTAAGACTTATTAACCTCTTGCACCACCAGAGAGGGCCTGGTTCTACATTTCAATGTGGGAAAAACCAAGTTTAAGAGAAGAATCTGGTTCAGAGAGGAAATGTTGGGCAATGAAATAATAGTTTTGAAATAGGGAGCGGTTTTCTCTAATGACACAAGAGAAGATCCTTTGGCCAAATCTGGCCTGCTGCCTTCTTTTGCAAACAAACATTTATTGGAACACAGCCCTAAACCTCTTTCATATATTCTCCATGGCAGCTTATGCACTACTGAAGTATGATTGAATACTTGCAAGAGGCCATCGGGCTCTTTAGACTTTAAAACATTAACTGTCTGACCTTTAGAAAAGTTTGCTGACCCTTGCCATAAAAGAATGGAAAGTATTGTTGTTTTCCCTTTATAGTGTAGGATAAAACAAATAGGTAATGGGCCTCCCCTGATGGCGCAGCAGTTGAGCGCTGGGCTGCGAGGCTGCCCGCAGCCTCTGCAGTGCCAGTTTGTTCCCCATCCGCTGGCGAGGGTCCCACCAAAAAAAAAAAAAAAAAACACACCAAATAGGTAATGTTGTTGCTATTAAGAATCAAGCATTTTAATGAAAGGTACAGGTGTAAAATCAAAAATATTAAATAATGCCATCATCTTAAATTTGAGGAAGTGAACTTACTTTCCTTCCCCCCTCTAAAAATATTTATTTTCTATCTTTACCTATTGTAAAAGTCTGGAAGTAGTGATAGCATACTGCAATGAATATCCCAGCTCCCTAGATTATGATCTCTGGAAATTTAGAAGGAACCAAGATTCTTTTTGGATACATGACAAATTTGAGTTTTGAAGAAAGAATGGTACAAAATGCTATGCCAGAAAGCATGGAAGCTAACAGACTAGTATGTTCATATCAAAGAGACACTCGGGCCATCTTGAAGGGACACTGTCACTGGCCAGAGATTGGATACGTTGGGACTTAGATTGAATAATAACTATAATTAATTAAATCCCTTTGAGTTAATAAGAAGCCATGAATTCATACCCCTCAAAATATAACAAAGAAACAAAACATAAGCAATATAGAATTCATTGTATATGACATGCATTATTCTGAAAATAGATAATTGGAAAAATTTTAAAATGTCAACATGTATTCTACCTTTTCTATATGAATATATTCAGAAGAAGCTAAACAGTTGATTTAACTGTGCTAAAAAGATTTAAATTTTTCAGTATTTTTGCTTTCAGGTTCTTACAAAAGTGCTTAAGTTGAGCCCTATTATGTCATTCTACTATTATCACAGATTTAAATTTTCTTCTTGCCTTTCCTGTACATTAAAATCCTAAATGGTATATATAATAGTTTATTCATGTTGTCATATTGTTCTTTTTTTGTTTGAATTGTTCTGTCAGCAGTATCCTGGTGTGAACCAGCTGTCCTCCAGTCTGGGCGGGCTGAGTCTTCAGAGTTCCCCACAACCAGAAAGTCTGAGACCGGTGAACCTCACTCAGGAAAGGAACATTTTACCCACGACTCCTGTTTGGGCTCCTGTACCTAACTTGAATTTAGACCTCAAAAAGTTAAACTGTAGCCCAGAGTAGGTATTTATATCTTACAATCTTTAGAAAGTAACATACTTTGCTGAAAACATTGTATAGGACTTGTAAAAATTGTAAAAGTAAATATTAGTATTAATTAAGCTTTGTTAATGTGCACTTTGCTCTTCTAGTTTGTATGGTCGTTTTAGATTTAAAATTCAGTTTGGTCATCTGTTCTGTCCCCGTCTGTCTCCATCCAGCCCCCACTCCCTGTCACCTAATGCTAGGGAATTTTTTTTTCCATTTTGAGTGCATGATTTCAGACACCTAAATCCAACTCTTGACACTCACTCTTTCTCTCTCACTCACTCTCTCTCTCCATATATGCTTTTATATATCTTTTATATATATAATATATATTTTGCTTTTTTTCACTTTTCACCACTAATCATTTATGGTTTTTTTTAAAATAAGGTAGACTCTTGAAGATTTTATTCCCCCAGTCTTTGAAAAGAAGACAGTCTTCACTAATATAATCCTGAGAAAGGGTTTAGATAAGTGGTTTGTCTCTGAATTTTCATCCTCCACTCTAAGTATAAAGTATGAGGACCATCACACACTTGGTTATCTGGACAGATTGTCGGTTTGGATTTCTGTTGTTGTTTGGGTTTGTGTTGTTGAGTATTTGTTCCCCTCATGGAGAAGTTTAGCTGGCAGCCTGCATTCGGCCCACCACGCCCTGTGTGTCCCTGGGTGGGTGTATCTCTTACTCACTCACCAGACCTCTAAAACCAACAACTCTGTGGTCTTGCCTGCTTTCAGTACTACTGTCTCCTAAAAGTAGGGTGTTTCTCTGTACTGGATCCCCCTGCTCCTAGACTGTCTCTTCAGAAAGTGAGACCTGAGTCATAACATCACATTATCTTCTTCCTTGAGTAAAAGCATCAGTGCAGTCAGAGCCAATATTTGCCTTTTCTTGAGACAGAAGTTCTCCAGCTTTTCAAAAAATCCTGCAAAATCTTATATATGTTTTCAGTACAGAAAAAAAAAATGAAGGTGTTCTGGGGGTTTCCCTTCTGCCATATCCTGCAGCTAGCCCCTTGTGGAGTCTAAGGCAATGCCAAGATCATTTCTATAAAAATATGTCATCACTGATTATAGGTTGAAAAGTTTGCTGTCCTTCTGAGTGTGAGCTGCTCTTGAGTGGATAAGTGTGTGAATTATGGCCTTGTATTGTAGTTAGATATCCCCTAAACAGGTGAACGTAGCATATGTGTGTGTAAGAGAGCCCATAGGCAGGGGATGGTGCCTACATTTCTGCTCAGCTATGTGAAAATAGCTGTCTTACCAAAATAGCAATAGCAGCGCAGGCTTCACAGTTGGACAGACCATGGTTCTACTGATAAATAGCTGTGAGGCCATGTACAAATTATTCAGTAGCTCAAATTCTCATTAACAGAAATTAAACAAGAATAATAACTATGCCTGCACATTAACATAAATCATTCTTTCCATAAATTTTCACTAAATGCCTTCTTAATAAGTGAAGTGCCTGGCACTGTTTGGAGGCTCTGTAAAATGGTAAGCAAAACGAAGTTCCCAGTCTTCTGGAACCTACATCCTATTAGGAAAGTCATGCTACAAAGAGTCCAACTGTGGAATACAAGGTGCTATAAAATAGTGAGGGTGGGGCCAGGATAGGTTTTCCCAAGGAGTCAGCATTTGAGTAGAGAGGCCCTGGAATGAGACTGGGAGCAGGGCCAGGTGGCCTGTGCAGGAGTGAGCAGCCTGCGCCTCATCTCGGCAGCTACCTGGCCAGCACCACATCACCCGCTCTTCTCAAAACCCTTTTCCTGCTTTCCAGTCCTTCAGTTTCTTTCCTCCATATGTTCCTGTATTGCTCTGCTTCTACAGTTGTAACTTACAGCCCCTGTCATGGCTTAGTCTGTGAAAGGATAGGATAGGATCATGTGAAGATCGAGTGACCTCAGATCTCAGGTGGAGCAGACAGACGAGGTACACAGAGCAACCAGGCTCTTTGATGCCATGGATCATAACCGTATCAGAACACAGAGAATTCATTCCTTTGGCTTGTGAGTCAGGGGGAAGGGTGGCTTCAGAAGAAGTGACAACTTTGTGTCTTATACTAAGTTTCAACATGGGAAGAACAGGCAGCAAAGATGCAGCAGTGTATCTTTTTCATTCCCTATTCATGGCCTCCAGGAGAGTCAGTGTTTCCCTGAATGTGCTGCACATTCCCCCAGGAAAGCGCTGAGTCCTTAATTTAGGTCTTTTGACATGTGTTACATAGACGCCTGTTTAATCAGGACCTTCCTAGTTGTTGTATATTGCATACCCAAGTGATTTTCGCTTATGCCTTGAAATGTTCTTAATTATCTGTAACTCCTATCTACTTCATTATATTTTTCTCTGCTAACACAGTTTGCATTGTTTATATTTTTTTTGCAGTTCATTTCGATGTACTTTGACGAATATTCCACAGACACAGGCTTTACTGAATAAAGCTAAACTTCCTTTGGGATTGTTGTTACATCCTTTCAGAGACCTAACGGTAAACTTAACATTTTAAAATATTTGTGGGTACTGATGTGTATGTTAATATTCAGGGTTCTTGGATTGTATATTTTCTTAGAATATTTTCCATCTTTTTTTTATTTTTAATGTTTTGAGGACCCTCCATACCATTTCCCCTACTATTGTACCAGTTTACATTCTGAGAAACCAGTTTATAAGGGTTCCTTTTCCCCATCTCTTTGCCATTACTTGTTATTGCTTACCTTTTATTTTTAAAAGATTTATTTTGATTTACTTAATGCATATAAGAACTGGGGTGTAGGCCAGAGGTGTGGGGAGGGGGGGGGGTGAAAGGATTCACCAGACTGAAAGGATTCGACAGACTGTGGAGCAGAACAGGCAGATCTACTGAAATACACTGCTGAGGGAGCAGCCAGGGAGACAGGAGAGGTCTGCTGCGCCATGTGTGGGTCAGCTCCCTGGCCGGGGATTGAACTCATGCCAAAGAGGTCATAGCATGATAGTGCTGAGACTTAACCCCTGCACCACCAGCGAGGCCCTTTTTTCATCTTCTTTTATTTGAAGTTAGAAATCATCATTTTGGCGAAGTTCAATTCAGTAAGCACTTTCTGAGCACCAGCTCTGTGACAGACCCTAAAATGAGTACTAGTGAACACAGAAGATGAAGTCATTGTCCTTGCCCAAGATAGTCTTACCTAATGGAACACACTTGCAAAGCCAATAATTATGGTGCAGGATCATATTCTACCAGGTACAACATGGTTCCCTCTGGTATGGAGCAGTTTTCTACAAGGGGTGAGGTATGAACCAAATTTGAAAGAGTGGTAGTTTCGGAAGTTGGACGGCCGTGAAAGGTAAACTTTAGAAATCCTTTATTAAACATAAATGAAGTGCCAACAGTTCTGTCTAGTCAGGCAGAAAACTGTATGATTTTCCCTAAACTTACTTGCTAAAGTTTCCATAGTCTTAATTTGGTTTAATACTTCACTTGACAGATTTTTACCACATGCTTGTGGTATTTCATGAAAACGTGTTGGATTTATAATGTAACTTTTAGAAATAGTTTATCCAGGTACATTTTTTTATACATTATAAGTTGTTTTTCCCCCTCACTTTTTCACTACTGTAGTTTTCTGCCACTCTTAATGATACTGGATTTCTTTACTAACATTCATCCAAAAAGTATTTATTGATTACCTATCATGCTATTGTAGATACTGAGAATGTAAAGGTCAGTAAGCTTCCTGGTGGAGCTTACTTTCCTACTAGGATATATAGAAGGGAACAAAGGAATAGAATACAAAATAAAATACAGTAAGTACCTTGAATTGATTCATTTAGTAAATAATACTTGATCTCCTAAGCAAACTTCACCTATATAAATAGTGAGAATTTTTGTCTGAATACAGATTCCATCTTTGATATCTTCTGGAAATAGATACACTAAGTTAGCAACAGTAGCTTCCTTTAGGATGTAGAATTCTGGGTAATTTGTTTTTGTATTTTTCAATTAAGTGTACTTCCTAATTTTCTTTGCAAATCATATGTAGTCACTGAGTAATAAAAACTATATGTATGGAGAAATTTCATACAAAAGGCATGAATGAGATGAAAACAGAAGTATTAATGTTTATGTATAGATGGGAGAAAAAAACAGGAAGAGATATACTAAAATGTTGAGGTTAATTCAGAGAGAAGAATAAGTGATTTCTTCATCTTTTCACTGCTTTCTAAATTTCTTATATAGAATATAAAGCTCCTTTCCCACACTAAGTCAGAGTGGTATGTTCTTAAAAGGCTGGTAGAGGCATCTGGGGTGTGGGGCCAGACCTTGGTGCAGGGCGTGGCTGTAGAGACAGAGACATTGACGCATGGTCTGTGTTTCTCTCTCACTGTTACCTCTGCATTCCTGGGGATGAGCTCTGAGTTCCATTATTTTCTTGGCCAACTAGGCTTTTCTTGTTAGTCAGTGACTTTTATTATACTTGGTGTGGCATTATGTGCTTGTTAACTTCTAGTCTGTGACAAGAGAGGGAAGAAATCTCTTGTCCACTTATCACTGGATTTTATGGAAATGCTTCTATTTCACACGCAGTTACGGTTACTGTACTATACTGGCAGTGGGATGGGGGTGTTCTATCTCCCTGGCTCCTTTTTCTGCCACAACCACCTTCTTTTACCTCCTAGCAATTACCGGTCATAACATCAAACACCATCGTGAGGTGCCGGTCTTGTCGGACATATATCAACCCCTTTGTCTCTTTTATTGATCAACGGAGGTGGAAGTGCAATTTGTGCTACAGAGTTAATGATGGTGAGTTTCAGACTCTCAAAATAAGTGTGTTAAATATTTAACTTTTTTGCATCTTTGTCATCTTAGCTCCTCATTGCTTTAAAAACTAATGCCATGTTTCATGGAGAGAATATAGGCTAAGGACACTTCCCCTGGACCGGCCATGGGGAGAGTCGACAATGAGGGAGTGACAGGACAGGAAAAGGTCCTGAGGGTGGGACTGTCTCATTTTCACTGTGGTCAGTCGGGCTCAGGTGGGCCCGCACGGTGCAGGCCTGTGTGTATACCTGTCTTTTGGGCAGTCATTTCTTAGCTCCTCTAACTGTAAACACTTTTAAATTTCTATTTTTCTCTGATTTTTTTTTTTTTTTCCTGTGTCGTGTGATATAATAGAACAAAAACCTAAGAAGCGAGGTTAGCTGTGTCATGGTTTCCTCCCCTGATTTCAGAAATTAAATGGTTGGCCTTTTTAAAAATCTTTCTGATGTATTCTTTAAAGGGACCATAAAATACTACTTTTTAGCCATTCGATGTTGAGAGAACTCCTGTAAACTTCTTATAAATACTGGTGATAGAGGTGTTTATTTCCAGGCTTGTCTGTATGTGTTTGATTACAAATTGTGTCCCTAAATTTATACTCAATTCTTCATTCTTTCCTAGTTCCTGAAGAATTTATGTATAATCCCCTTACCCGGTCTTATGGAGAACCTCATAAACGGCCAGAAGTTCAGAATTCAACAGTGGAGTTCATCGCTTCTTCAGATTACATGGTATCTATTCAGTGTTCAGTTAGTAATGGAGTACAGTGGTAGTGGTAGTTTATAATTGGCTGTTACAGGAATTCTTGTCCAAATTTTAAAGTTGTCCCTAGTCTGAATTTTTTTTAAGTAAATTAATGCTGAAAGTTTATGTTTAACAAATAGAAAACTTTCTAAAGGTTACTCTATTTCCTAGAAGAATATAATTGTATCACTAAGAAATGTTAGCAATGTTTTATGGTGAACACTAACATTTACAGTTTATTGCCTTTTTTTACTTGATTACACTTTATAATGGTTATAAATACTCTTTCACCAACTAATATTTTAATACCCTCAAACGGAAAAGCACGTTTTCCCCAAAACACAGTTTTAGGCCCTTACAGAGATCATCATTCTGCTGGGTCAGCCAATACAAATGTCAAGGTAAATGGATATTGACTTCACTCTACTTCTTTTCAGTTATAAGGTTCTGCCTGTTCCTGAATTAGTTCTGATTCTAGATCTCATTTCCACATACAAAAGTGGATTCTTGCTCTAAGTTCTGCTCATCTTCGCCATCATTTCTGCTTATTTTACACATACTCACAAAAATTGTTTCTTTTGTGTCCTGGTTTCTAGTCTGTTATCTTTAAAATTTTAAAGCATTACTAGTGAGAAAAGGGACAACTAATGTGTGTTAAATTCTGGGTGGTTAACCCATTTTTTTTCTCTTTTTATAATTTGGTTTTGTTTTTGTTGTATTTGTTGAGGTAATGTTGATTGGCATCACACTGTGTGTCTTTGGGGTAAAGGTTTACACCCCTACAATTGCATTTTATTTTCCCCCACCCACCACCAAAACTCCAGTAATCCTCCATTAGACCCTTCTCTCCCCGTTGCTCACCCCTGCCCTATTCATACTCCCCTTCTGGTAACCTTATTTTTATTTATTTTTTTTAAAGATTTGTTTTATTTATACAAGCACTGGGGTACAGGCCAGAGGCGCAGGAGGGTGAGAGAATGCACCAGAGACAGAGCAGGGAGCAGAACAGGCAGAAGGACCGAAATACACTGCTGAGGGGAGCAGTGGGCGAGGCAGGAGAGGTCTGCTGCACCATGTGGGTATCTCGCTGGCCAGCCAGGATAGAACCGGCACTGCAGAGGCTGCAGACAGCTTCACAGCGCTGTGCTAAACCCGCTACGCCACTGGGGAGGCCCAGCCTTATTTTTATAATTTTAAAGACCCTTTGTCCAACTTAGTATCTGCCCATTTTAACCTAGTATCTTCTTGTCTGTTGCATATTAACTATACTAATATTTTCTTTTATCACTTTTACTCTCAAGTTTTTGTCTTCTGTACAACTAACTCATTATGTCCCTAACTCTATTCTGGCTCCTTTGGAATTTTAATGTAATTGAAGTGGTGAAGCAAAAAGTAATTTTTAATTTTGGCCATAAAGCCCATGAGATCCTTGATTGGCATGCTTTTAAAAAGACTTTTTGTGCCCCTTTTTAACTTTCTACAGTAGTAATATGCAGGTGTGTTTAAAAAAAAGAGAGAAAATAGTATCTTAACCATCATTTACTCATCACCAAGCTTCAGTTATCAACATTTTGCTAAATATATTTCATTTTTCCTCAGTCCATCCATGACCCCACACTGAAGTTTGTTAATACTAATCCCAGTATCATGTCATTTAACCCATAAATACTTCAGTGGATATAGCTGGCAGATAAAGCTTTGCCATACGATACTATCACAAGGACTTTCTTATGCTTAGTATAAGTATACTTTCTTATACTTAACCCTTGAGACTAGTCCTAATGGTTGTCAGGTTTTAAAAAGTATATTTAAAAAAAAATTTTAGGAACAGAAGAAGGGAGGAAATATAGAGATTAGTATTAAAAAACAAACTCAATTGTTGCTTGCAAGATATCTCAGCCAACACTGTCAAGCAGACGTTCAGCCCATCTATTTAACCATTACGGCGTATTCCCTGCCCTATCATACTTAGCCAGTTAGCTTTATGAGAAAAAGTTAGAGGAAGATCTTATAAAACATCAATCCTGTTGGATTTTTTTTTTTTTTTTGGGGGGGGTATAGTAGACTCATAAATATAGTATTAGTGACATGAGAGGGGTATATGTAGCTACTAAATAAATCACATTATTTTTATTCCTTTTTCAGCTTCGTCCCCCTCAACCAGCAGTCTACTTGTTTGTTTTGGACGTATCCCATAATGCAGTGGAAGCTGGGTATTTGACAATTTTGTGCCAGTCGTTACTAGAAAATTTAGACAAGTAAGAATTTTTTTACTTACTACATATATGTGTGTATGAGTGCATGTAAATTTCATGTGTTTATTAAACTATGGGATTGGTTTTCAGTTAAATTTGATTTCATTTATTCACTGACTAAAATATTATATCCTGTCCTCCTTAGAGTAAGGATCCTGCTACTTAGATTTTTGTGATTTATGACTGGACATCTGAGTCATTAAAGCTCCCCATGCTTAATGAGGAATTTAGATCTAATTATCCTCTGACTTAGCAGATCGGAGCACTGCGCCTGACAGGGCCAAGATATCAGGGATGCCAGTGAGAGCGTTTCAGCTGTAATTGATGCCTGAGCAAGGAGTTTTACATGAGATACTTTTAGTGGGAGCTTGAATCTGATCAAAGGAACTAGGGAACTGACTTTGTGCTGAGTATTTCAGGAAGCTAGAAACTGAGCTCTTTTTGGCATATTAGGTCTGAGCTGTGTTGTGGATGAAAGCAGCACAGGAAGGCTTGCTTGTATCCGACTGGTTCCTGATCTTGTATCTACTGGTATTAGGAAGGAAACCCTCAACTATCTTTAAAAAACCAGTCTTCCAAATCTCTGGGGAAAAAAGTTGTTTGTGCGTTTCTTTATTCCAATGCCCACAGCAGATAAGACAGATCGTTAGTAAGAATGGCTCACGCCTTGGCATGTATGGAGGTGGCAGTGTATGATACCTTGTCACAGGTGCTCTTGGTTACTCCAGAGGGTCTCCCCATCATCCCGCTGAGTCTGAGAGTCCCCACTCTGTTGAGAGCTAACTCTAGTCACTGTAGTCTGCATGTTACTAATCTTCTTTGCCCATGATTAGAAAAAAATCCAGAGATACTAAATGACATGCTTCTAATTTGTTAGTAATTTAAGAGTTTTCAAATTTATCCTCTAGTCGTAGCATTTTCCCTTTCTTTCTTTTCTTTTTTTTTTTTTTTTTATTTATTTTTGTACAAGAACCGGGGTACAGGCCAGAGATGTTGGGGGTAAGAGGATCCACCAGAGACAGAACGGGGAATAGAATAGGTAGACTGATGAAATACACTGCTGAGGGGAGCAGCGGGCGAGACAGGAGAGGTCTGCTTTGCCATGTGGGATTGTCGCCAGCCGGCCGGGATCAAACCGGCACTGCAGAGGCTGCAGACAGCTTCACAGCGTGGCGCTCAACCCACTGCGCCACCAAAGAGGCCCCTCTTTTTTTTTTTTTAAATATTTTTTTAAAGATTTATTTATTTATGCAAGCACTGGGGTACAGGCCAGAGGCACGGGAGGGTGAGAGAATTCGCCAGAGCCAGAGTGGGGAAACAGAACAGGCAGACCTGACGAAACACACTGCTGAGGCGAGCAGCGGGCGAGGCAGGAGAGGTCTGCCGCGCCATGTGGGAATCTCCCTGGCCGGCCAGGAATCGAACCTGCACTGCAGAGGCTGCGGACAGCTTCACAGCGCTGCACTCAACCCGCTGTGCCACTGGGGAGGGCCAGCATTTTCCCTCTCTTAGTGACAAGGGCTTACTCCAAAGATAGCTTTATCCATCATGACCATGGAAGACCACTCTGCAAAGAAAGCTCTTTTCATACTGAAGTTGGGAAAAGTGTGAGGGCATAGCCCAAGAAATAGGCGCCACTCCGACAAAGATGAGTGACTATTTGTGGATTAAATAGACTATGCAAAACCAGAAGGGTAAAATGGAGAATAGAAAATAGTGAGTTGTTAGAAAGACATGACGTATTTTTTGTTTTCTATGCAAAAATGCTTCATGACTTTTCCAACAACTCAATAATTAAAAGCATATTTGCTTATAGGCTCAAAATAAAAGCATTAATAAAGCCAGAACAAAAAGTAAAGGTGAAGGGTAGCACCAGTATAGGAGCATGTATTTGGAAGGGGCTGTGGAAATAACTGAGAAAGAGGAATTTCATGCTGGAGCACTTCTGCCTCAGGTCTGTATTTTGAACTTGGAGGGAAGTGAGTAAAGTAGTCTCAGTTCTGATTGGTAACCGTAACAATACTGAGAGATCTTAGAAGTTGCAAAGAAGTAAGGATTAGTCTATAGAAACATCATAAATATTGACCAGTATAGATTAGCTAGCCATCCAGTAGCTCCTTGCAGTCTGTTCTCTAAAGTGCTTTTTGAACTAGCTTGTCGACTTCATCTGAATGGCCCCATCAGCCAGGCATAATAGTAATAATGCTTCTGAGCTTTGTTTTGGCTTCTAGTAATAATCAACGGTAATGTAAAGGTACTGCTGAAAAAATAAATTACAGAACAGCAGTTAACTTAGTGACCAGTACTTAGAAACATACTTCTGTGAGATGAGGCATCTGTCTTACTAACAGGGAGAGCTTGATGGGCAATATTTTATGCTTATTGTTTTATGCTGTGGCATTGACATTTCAATACAGGCTTCTAGCAGAAAAGTTTTAAAAGATGAATGTTAGATAGAATGTCTGTGTTCTTAAATGGATTTTTATTTTAAATTTTACACATGAAAGTCTGATTTGCTTTACATTTAAATCTTTTATTTGGAAAATACACGTTTGTCCTTCTGTCTTTAAAATATTTAAGCAAAGTGTGCGATTTTTGTAACATTGAAAATGAAAAGATGAGTAACTTGCACTTGAGAGAATTTTTGAAAGTTAGCAAGTAATCTTTGGTTTTTGAATCGTGTCAATTTTAATGTTTATTATTTGAACATAGTTCAATCTTCTAAAAACAATTTCTGCAATTTATTTATTTTTAGTGCTAACATTGGTTTACAATATCGCATATGATTTAGACGTTTAGGATCGCCCCTTTCAGGTGTTGTTACCACACCACACCTACCACCAAGACAGAGTCTGTGACCTCATAACACACTGGTGCTTTTATCTGAAATGAAATGTTCCATTGTTGCTCTTCTCTGATAGATAGTGACCCAGACAGGAATAAATTTTCTGTCCTCTGGAGAAGCATATGTAATTATTTCTAGACTTAATATTTCAGGTTTTTTGTGGGGTTTTTTTGGCAAGAAAGTAAGTTACTGAGCACGTGGAATTTAAAATTGTCGTTTTTATCTTTAGGCTTCCTGGAGATTCCCGAACAAGAATAGGATTCATGACCTTTGATAGTACTATTCATTTCTACAATTTACAAGAAGGATTATCACAGCCTCAGATGTTGATTGTATCTGACATAGATGGTAAGCAGTGAATAAAATGTCTTTTCATGACAGATTTGGGGATTCACATTGCTTAATTTTACAATACATGTTGTCATAATGCTGTAAAGTCAGTTTGGTGCAATTTGATTTTTGTTTTAAAGTAAATGATTTCCTGGAAAGTACTTGATTCTGATTTTCTTAAATCTGTATGTGTACTTGCATGCACGTGCACAGACATGTGTATATATATTTATGCAGAGTATACATATTTAATAAAATGATTTTATGGTGCCTACTACATGTGTGGCCTGACACAAAGATTTTTAAATTTATTATATTGTCTTGACTTGATTGGCATTGATTAAAATATTTAAAATAAAAAGAAATATTAAAATATTTCTTCCCTGTAGATGTTTTTCTGCCTACACCGGATAGCTTACTTGTGAATCTATATGAAAGCAAAGAGGTGAGATGGATTCTTTTTCCTTAAGGTAGCAAAATATTTGTTATTTCAGCTGCCCATGTTTGTGTGGTGACTTGTATTTGTGTGGTATCTTCACGCTGTCGGTGTCTTCACAGTGCACAGCATGGCGGGCGGTGGGGGGGTGGGGCGTGTCTGTTCACTTTTCAGTGTATGTTTTGCTGCCTACAATACAGCAGCAGATACTACACTTGGGGTGTTTTAAAAAACATTGCCTTGCCTACTCCGTAATTGAGCTATTAATCTTTGCTTTCCCAGCTTATAAGAGACTTACTGAATGCATTACCAAGTATGTTCACCAACACAAGAGAAACTCACAGTGCCCTTGGCCCTGCGCTTCAGGCTGCCTTTAAGCTGATGTCTCCAACGGGCGGCCGTGTGTCTGTGTTTCAGACACAGTTGCCTTCGTTGGGTGCAGGGCTTCTGCAGTCCAGAGAAGACCCTAATCAGCGGTCGAGTACAAAGGTATCATCTATTTGTTTTCTCTGTCATATTCAAGATGGTATTTTCTGCCCTTGCAGACCATTCAATTATTTGTTCATTATCTACTTTTCTACTTCAAGAATAGTAAAGAAAATGAAAGCTGACAAGAGAATTTAGTTTGAATTACTGTTTTGAGTTTGTGTTGTAATGTGTTCTTTTTATTACTTTGTTTGCAAGTCATAGAAATTTAGAGGTCATTTTCTCTAACCCTTTCATTTTGTAGATGAGGAAACAGATTAAACTGTTTTGCTAAAGATGTTAAATAACTAATGGTAAAAATGGGACTCAATGTTCTGACTCCTGTGCTCTTTTCTATTATGTACATGATAATACTAAATCTCAGATAGTAGAATTTAACGTGCTCATTATTTTTTTTTTTTTTTTTTTTTGCTTACTCAATTTTATCTTTCTACCCTGGGGCAAGACATTTAAGAAATCACCATTTGTTTTGTAATGGATTGTCATCTCCTTTGCCAAACAGAAGTATAGAATACATCTTGTTTGTCACAGATGTGCCCACTTTCTGTTTCACTAAGAAAGAGGTGTTTAATCTTGTAACATTCTTTCTCACAGAGGAATGCGGCAACTGCTACAATAAGAACAGTTGCAGACCAGTAGCTGTGGAATCATTAGTAAATTTTTAAATTATAAAGATAATACAAATCATTGGAAAGTAGAAAAAAATTTATCAGTAAACTCACTGAGATAATAGCATTTAGTTTTACAAATACTTAAGTAAGCATAATCGGCCATCACACATGTATGCTATATTTTTAAGTGATCTTTTTCCACTGAGGGTATATTGTGAGGGTATATTGCATTTTCTGAGACCCCTAAAAATCCTCTTTAAAAAATATTTTTTAGTAAATGTGAACTTTTTTATTTAATTAATGGCATCCTATCAATTGAATTGTCTCTACCAATTAAAAAAAATGAGACTGAATATTACTTGGATTTTATTTACATGAGGATTTGATCACAATATTTTAATCTCCATTTCAAATAACAAATAAATCATACCCATTGGTTTTGATTTTTTTCATGAATTTTATTCTACCTCAAATAAATTTTGAGAAGATACCACTACTACTAGTTATGAATTAAACTGTTTTAATGGTGTCATAAATCTTGTCATAAATCATATTTAGATTCTCCTTGGGCTCACTTCCTAGTAGTAAAAACTTGATTGAACTTATTAATGCACTCACTTATTGAACTCTGCTTATGTTTTAGTCAACCTGTACTCCTAGGATGCTCTTTTTGTAACTGCCATTAGTTATTGTGGCTTTTTCATTCTTTACCAAACTGTTAAAGAAAAATAGCACTATGTTTTACTTTTTATAGAAATTTGAATACTAAATTGCTTTTTGAGAAAGAAGCTAATTTTAAAATAAATTGGGGCAAGTGTATTAAGAGTATTGAAAAGTTATATTATACAGTATTTAAAAGTTATATTAAAAGTTATATTGTAGGGCCTCCCCGGTGGCGCAGCGGTTGAGCGCTGGGTTGCGAAGCTGCCCGCGGCCTCCGCGGCACCGGTTCGATCCCCGGCTGCTCCCCGGCCACTGGAGGAGGGTCCCACATGGCGTGCAGACCTCTCCTGCTGCCCGCTGCTCCCCTCAGCAGTGTACTTCGGTCCTTCTGCCTGCTCTGCTCCCCGCTCTGGCTCTGGTGAATTCTCTCACCCTCCGACGCTTCTGACTGTACCCAGTGCATGTATAAACAAAACAAACAAACAAATAAATAAATAAATAAAACATGCCTCTATAAAAAAAAAAAAAAAGTTATATTATAATGAAGAACTTGGAGCCTGGTCCTTGTGTTTTTAACTCTTTCTCCATTGCCATCTCAGTTCAAGTATCCTCATACCAGTAGGAAAAGCCTTCATAACATTCCCTGTAGGCCTGACTGCAGGGTTTATTTTCCAGCATCCACCACTCAGTAACTACATGAGTGGTCAGTTTACTTAAGCGGTTTTGGCCTTAGTTTCCTCACCTGTAAAATGTAGATAATTCATTAAATAGATGTTATTATGAGGGTTAAATAATTTAATTTATGGAAAACATCTTGAGCAGTGCTGGCACATGAGTGCTTTATAAATGTTAGTGATTATTATTCTTACAGAAAAATCTATGTCAACTGCCTGGAATATCCCTGGTTTTTATCAGGAACAGGGGTATCCTCTCTCTTCTTATAAGAGAGACATTGAAAATGTGTGTAATTCAAGGTTTCCACCTCTCACTTCATGATCTATTGACTTAGGTTGTACAACATCTTGGCCCCGCGACTGATTTTTATAAGAAACTCGCTTTAGATTGCTCAGGGCAGCAGACAGCAGTGGATCTGTTCCTTTTAAGTTCACAGTATTCTGATCTTGCTTCTCTAGGTAAGAAGATATCATTGTATTTATCTGTTTTTGTAAACATTTTTAGCATATAATTAAATCTCAACTCTTTACTAAGAGTTCTCAATATTTTGGGGAGAAAGGCATGTAAATTAAATAATATCTATGAAAATTATCAGTAAATTTTAAGGCACTGTGTAGATATAAAATGCTATTACTATTTTGTTTTTAAAAATACAGTTCCTTTACCACTCTGCTCAGCAATAAACCTGATACTACATTTTACTTTATTTATACTTGTGTTTTTGTTTTTTCAGATTTATGTATTATGCTTGTTTTGACAGTTTACGTTTTCTCATGACTTAGGTTTCTTCATTATATAGAATCTGTACTGTGGTTGGACAGTAGCTAATACTTCTATTTCTTTCTAAAGCTTGCATGTCCAAGTATTCTGCAGGGTGCATCTATTATTATCCATCTTTCCACTTTACTCACAATCCTTCACAAGCAGAAAAGTTACAAAAAGACCTGAAGCGTTATCTTACAAGAAAAATTGGATTTGAGGCTGTTATGAGAATACGGTGTACCAAAGGTATGAAATTATAAAAAGTTATATACTTTATATGACATACGTCTGTGAAAATCAATAAGCATTTATATATTGACTATCTGTGATTTCTTAGCATGATTACTTGTTCATCATAAAGGACGTGATCCAGCAAATTTGCTTTGCACATACGGAGTTGTTGAATAATTTTTAAGTAATTTGAGTAAGTGGGCAGACATAAGTGTTTTGCTATATTGAGAATAATGTAAGAGGGGCCTCCCTGGTGGCGCAAGGGGTTAAGACACAACCTATGAAGCTATCCGCAGCCTCTGCAGCATGAGTTAGATCCCTGGCCAGGGAGCTACCCACATGGCGCAGCAGACCTCTCCTGGCTCGCCTTCTGCTTCCCTCAGCAGTGTATTTCGGTCATTCTTCCTGTTCTGTTCCCTGCTGTTTCTCTGATGAATCCTCTCACCCCCACACCTCTGGCCTATACCCCAGTTCTTGTATGCATAAATAAATAAATCTTTAAAAAAAAAAGAGAGAGAGAGAGAGAGAGAGAGAATAATATAAGAGAAAACCCATTTTGGAGGTGACTTTAGGAGAATTTAGAAGAATATAGAAGTTGTTAGATTAATGATACTTGTCTTCATAATCATTCAAAATAGTCTTAAGTTACATTACTTTGGTTTTATGAGCATATTTACTGAAGGGGATTCTGATTTCTTCTTTTAATTCTTAAACAAGTTGTAAAATGACCCTCAACAATCTTCATAATTTTGTACATCAGTTAGATCTTCATCTTCAAATCACAAATGAGAAAGTATTATAAATTTGTTTATCAATTCAAGTTAAATATATAGTCTTCCTTTTATATAACCTGCATTGGGTTCTTTGAATTGGTATTATAGAACATTTTTAGGATATAATTAAATCTAAACTTTACTAAGAGTTCTCAATATTTTGAGGAGGAAGGCATGTAAATTAAATAATATCTACTGACATCCCCTCCGACTCTGAAATTATCCTTTCGATTCACAATCAGCAACATCTTTTACTTTAAAAAGTAGCTTTATCCTGAGATAAAGATTACTTCATCTTTTATAACAAGTTCTCTCTTCCCTAGGTCTCTCAATGCACACTTTTCATGGAAACTTCTTTGTCCGTTCCACTGATTTGTTATCCCTTGCCAACATCAATCCTGATGCCGGATTTGCAGTACAGCTGTCAATTGAAGAAAGTCTGACAGATACTTCCTTAGTGTGCTTTCAAACAGCCCTCTTATATACATCAAGCAAAGGTATTGTTACTGTTAAAAGAAGACACAGAACCTGTGTCATAAACTTTCCTCTCCTTTCACATGCTGGAGATAATGGGGAGAATGGCGGAACAGACAGTAGGGAAAATGGAATTTACATTGTTTCATTAAATATATGTCCCTTTTTTTAGCTAGTTTTTTAATCTTTAAATAATGTGTTTTGACCCATGGGAACCATGTGTTCCTAGGATCACATGTGTCTGATAAACAAACTTTGCCAAATCCAGCTATTCCCATCCTGAGCATTATAGCTTGACTCAGAAAATAAAAAATTCTACATAGTGGCCTAATCTCAGCTGGTCTGCCCGAGACCCCCTGAGCGCCAACCCTAGTCCCCCATGTGGCCCCTTTTCCACTCCAACAAGATGAAAGAAACTATCATGAACCAGGAGAAACTCACCAAGCTGCAGGCACAAGTGCGCATTGGTGGGAAAGGTACTGCTCACAGAAAGAAGGTGGTTCACAGAACAGCTACAGCAGATGATAAAAAACTTCAGTTCTCCTTAAAGATGTTAGGGGTAAACAACATCTCTGGTATTGAAGAGGTGAATATGTTCACAAACCAAGGAACAGTGATCCACTTTAACAACCCTAAGGTTCAGGCATCTCTGGCAGCAAACACTTTCACCGTTACAGGTCATGCTGAAACAAAACAGCTGACAGAAATGTTACCCAGCATCTTAAACCAGCTTGGTGCAGACAGTCTGACTAGCTTAAGGAGACTGGCTGAAGCTCTGCCCAAACAATCTGTGGACGGAAAAGCACCCCTTGCCACTGGAGAGGATGATGATGGTGAAGTTCCAGATCTTGTGGGGAATTTTATGAGGCTTCCAAAAATGAAGCAAACTGAATTGAGTCAACTTCTGAAGACAATAAAACTTGAAGAAGTTACTGGGAGCTGCTATTTTATATTATGACTGCATTTTTAAATTTTGTTCATTGATCTGATAAAATCTAGATCTCTAATATTTTTCAGCTTGAGCCCCTTGGACACTGCAGCTCGTTTCAGTTTTTGCTAATACACAATTCATTCTTTGCAGCTAATTAAGCTGAAGAATCCTGGAATAATGTTTGAAACAGGTTAATAAAGTCCTTTGCCTAGTATCCAGCTTTATTTTTTATTTCATTGACACTGATTTGTACACAGAAAGCAAAGTTGTTATAGAAAGCTAATCATGGCATGTAATATCACTGATAATCTTTGATGGAATTTGAATAAAGATTTTAAATGATAGTTAAAAAAAAATTCTTTATAGTGCTTAAAGCCTACATCTGTTATTTGACAGTCTGAGTTTTCTGACATTTTACTGTGTTGGGTATGATTAAGATGAGTGATATTAAAGTAAGAACTGGGACCTAATGTGTTCCTGCACCCAAAATTCCTTGTATGTTCATCGTCTGTCTTCAGATGTGGAAAGTGTTCCATTGTCTTTAAAACGTGTTGTCATTCAATGTATTCCAAACAATAGCTCAAATCATATTTGCCCTGTTTGCTTGTTTCTTTTTGATCGGATGTATTTTGCACTGACCTTATTCATCACTTCATTAGGTGAGCGGAGAATCAGAGTGCATACGCTCTGCTTGCCAGTGGTAAGTTCACTGGCTGACGTCTATGCAGGAGTGGACGTACAAGCTGCCCTCTGCCTTCTGGCAAACATGGGTGAGTACAAAAGTGAAGAGCAAGTAAAACATTTTTTTCTAGCCTATAAACTGAAGCCTGGGCGTTGTTTTACCCTAGAAAGCCCTTATTTGCAAAACATATGTGTTTTACATTTTCATTCACAGCAGTGTGAACCAGATTGTTCTTGTATTTCTTATTAATGCTTTAGTTTAGAAATCTTTTATGGGGATTCATAATCACTAAAAACTGGTAATATCCCAAATGTCCTTCAGATGGATAGTGTATGCACAAAACTGGGGTCCATCCATGCAGTGGAACACAGCTCAGAAACAGGAAGCAGTCCACTGCCAATGTGACAGCAGACCTGAGTGACTCCCAGAGCCATGTCAGGTGAAAAGAACTTAGCCTTGAGGCTGCATCCCTCAGGTTCCATTGATAGGACATTCTGAAAAAGGAAGATCATAGGGATGAAGAACAGACAATTGACTAATGGGCTAGGAATGCGGGAGGAGTTTTCTACCTAGAGGCAGCGGCACATGGGATGTTTTGGGGGGGCTAGAACTGTTGTGTAGAGATTACATGAGTATGCATTTGATATGAAACCACCGTAGACCTGCACTCAAAAAAGTAAATTCTGCTGTAAAATTTTTCTAACCCTTTGGGGAATTAATATAACAACTATTTTTTTGTTGTTGTTTTTAATGAATTTACCTTTTAGGTGAATTTAGACATGTTATTTCTTTCCCATGTAGTACAAAAATAGCCATTATTACCCATTTTGGGAGAAATTATAATAGCCTTTACTAAGCATCCCAATTTTTAAATTTACATTTTAGATTTTTTTTTTTTTTTAAATTTATTTATCCATTTATACAAGCACTGGGTACAGTCAGAAGCACGGGAGGGTGAAAGAATTCACCAGAGCCAGGGGGGAGAGCAGAACAGGCAGACTGACGAAATACACTGCTGAGGGGAGCAGCGGGTGGCAGGAGAGGTCTGCGCGCCATGTGGGACCCTTGCCCGGCGGCCGGGGATCAAACTGGCGCTGCAGAGGCTACGGGCAGCTTTGCAAACCAGCGCTCTACTGCTGCGCCACCAGGGAGGTCCCAACATTTTAGATCTTTTTTCAAATTAATTGTACCATAACTGATTGGATTTTGATATATTTTTAAAAACATTTTCAAATATAAAAGTTGATTTATTTTTAATACTTGGCATACTTGGCATATGTATGAAAATGCCTCTATTTTAATAATATATGCACTTGAAAGATCTAGGTTTCAAACTGATAGTTGGCCCTTCACTATGTGAGACTCCTTTTACTTTGCTCTCTGTCGACATGGGAAGATTTTGACAAAGAAAATTTCAAAGTGATTTAATACACTTGGAAAAATAAAAAGATTTTCGTGGATCACTCAGGTTGCAGAACTGACACTGTTTATGCAGAAAAAATGATACTTTACACATGTGGCTTCTATTTGCATAATGGAAATATCTCTAGGACTTTCTCAAAGGTAGATGTACAATATATGCTTTCCAGCAATCCAGATTTGTTCTGATTGTCGCATCTATTCAGATTTATTTTGGCAATAGTGTGTAATGAGGGCCTCCCTGGTGGCACAGGGGGTTGAGTGCAGCACTGTGAAGCTGTCCGCAGCCTATTCAGCATGGGTTCCATCCCAGCTGGCCGGGGAGATATCCACATGGTGCGGCAGACCTCTCCTGTCTTGCCCACTGCTACCCTCAGCAGTGTTTTCAGTCCATCTACCTGTTCTGTTCCCCGCTCTGTCTCTGGTGAATCCTCTCACCCTCCTGCACATCTGGCCTGTACACTGGTTCTTGTATGCATGAATAAATCAATCTTTAAAAAAAAAAAAGTGTGTAATGAGTCCATACTTTTAAAATGAGTGACAGGTAAGATGTACTTTTCTATCCGAAAAACAAAATCTTCATTGGCTTCTTAAGTAAATTTTCTCTCTTACAGTATTCATTGGAATCTAGTAAGCAAATACATTTTCATTTTCCTTGCTTTGTAGCTGTGGATCGGTCTATTTCCTCAAGTCTGTCGGATGCGAGAGACGCCTTAGTGAACGCAGTGGTGGACTCGCTGTCTGCCTATGGCTCGGCGGTCTCTCATGTGCAGCACTCGGCCCTGATGGCACCCAGCTCCCTCAAGTTGTTTCCGCTCTATATATTGGCTCTTCTCAAACAGGTAGGTTGTTCTCTATATACTGTTAGTTTGTGTGAAATCTTTTTAAATACCTGATACTTAGATGAAATGAGATCTAGATTTTCTGGGTTTTTAAAAAATATTTGATTAGAAGATTTTGCAGTTAGCATTGGAAGAGTTTTGAAGAACAGGGAAAAACAGTGGGCAGTGAAGTTCAGGCGAACACATGACGGCTAGTGATACCTCTGTTCTTGCTCCAGTCCATGGGAGCACCTTCAATGCTCATGTGCCTGTCGCACTCTCAGAAAGCACTTCAAGGAAAGGACCTGCTGTTCAAGGGACAGTCTCAGCACCACCATAGGTGTCATGTCCATTAGCTTCTGTTTTCCTTACAGCAGTCTTACATGCTGGTTTCCCTATTTTTCTTAGTTAACAATATAACTTTGAGAAGTTAAGTAACTTGCTCACATACCTACCGATATTAAATGTTAGAGTGAGAATTTAATCCAGGGTTTTCTGATTTGAAGCCCAGAGTTTCCCATGATTGATAGTGGCTAGTATATATTTGTTTCAAAATTTGTCCTCTATAGTTATGTTTTACTTGAAATGTTTTTAACTTTTTCCAAACAGAAAGCATTTAGAACTGGTACAAGCACACGTCTGGATGATCGTGTGTATGCTATGTGTCAGATAAAGTGTCAGCCCCTTGTTCATCTGATGAAAATGATTCATCCCAACTTATACAGGATAGACAGGTTGACCGATGAGGTATGATTTCTTTTAGTACATTTGAAATTTTTTAATTCAAATCTAATTGATGTCTTGATTCTATAGCTAAGGTGATAATGTATTATTAACAATACTTTTGTTTGGTTCTTTCCCCCTGTAGTAGTAATACATTAAATAAGGACTGTGGTTATAGGGTTTTCAAAACTAGTTTCACATGGAAAGTTATTCACCTTGTGGGTGTGGCTGTATTTTTTACAAAGCTAAGTTGGAGAGTGGACATTTCCATTTGCATTTGTATATATTCAGTGTTTCTGATATGATCAGAGTAACGTTTCGATTATTGTAAACCAAATCTGGTATTCCAATAGAATTTTTAATGTGCATGTAAAAATATAGGTTTTTTTTTTTTTTTCTTCTTTTTGTTAAAACTCTCCTCTTTGGAGTCTTCTCTACATCATGTCACTAGAGCTGTGCAGCAGTGCCCTGCTTGCAGTGGGTATCCTAGTCACACTTTTTGTATATCCTAGTCCCCAAAGGGATGGAAATGGGCAGATCCTTTTGCATGTTCATGATTTTATATTTAATTTGAATATATTTGAGTGTCTTGATTCTACAGCTAAGGTGGTAATGTATTAGTAGTACGTTTTGCATCCTAAATTCTCCAGTGTCACTTTTTTATTTTATTAGCACTTAGCGGTTGTTTATTAGCTTGCAAACTGTGATGACAGCAATGTAAGCTCATTCATATTCCACCTTTTTCTTTTCAGGGCGCAATACATGTTAATGACAGAGTTGTACCTCAGCCACCTCTCCAGAAATTGTCTGCAGAAAAGCTGACAAGAGAAGGTGCTTTCCTTATGGACTGTGGCTCTGTAAGCACCCTCTACTACAAAGCTTAACTCAGCTGGCAAAAAGAAAACTTGCAGCATTCAGCTGTATTATCACAGATAAGCAGTGAAAGGGAGATCAGGAAATTAGAAGCAATAAGTTGGTAACTGGCATAAGAGGTCAACTGACTTTAGACTTTTTGAGTTGGACATCATATTGTTATCTATAGATGAAAGAATTTTTTATTCTCATGGATTATTTACTGTCATGGATTATATATGCTTGATAAAGAGAAATAAAAAGATGAATTTTGGGTGAGCGGGTTGGCTGTGCATGCAGGTAGCCGAAGCTGCCTCCTCACCCCTTTAAAAAAAAAACAGATGATTTTGTGTCTTCAGGGAGTCTACCATCTAGAATCATAAAATTCATAGGGATCTCAAAAGTTTATCTAGTTCACCCTATATCCATGTCAGAGTTCAGGGTGGCAGGGTGGGCAGGGTGGTGATGAAGTCTTCATAGTGATTGAGATGACTTCATAAATAACACTTTATAGGCAGGAAATGGATTCAGAGAGCCTTACAAGGGATGCGTAGTTCGGAAGGTGAAATGTATTCTGTAGGAAACCTCGATATCAAAGCAAAAAACATATGAGTCACTCAAATTGTGGGTGTAGATTTCCAAAATGTGTCAGTTATATGATTTGTTTTTAGGTCTTAGTCCGTACTTCGAGATGTGTAAAACTTTACCTTGTTTGTATGTGGTGCCTTAAATGGGTTTCTGATTAAGGAATTTTAATTTGGGGGAATTTGTTTGTTTTTTAGGTTTTTTACATTTGGATTGGAAAAGGCTGTGACAGTAACTTCATAGAAGATGTCCTTGGGTATCCTAATTTTGCATCAATACCACAGAAACTGGTTAGTGGAATTTTATGCAGCCTTACCATTTGTGTCCTTGTTTGTTATAACTTCTTTTATTGATAATAAGCTCAGATACAATTCACCATTTTAAAGTGCAAAGTTGATTAGTTTTTAGTATGTTCAGTGTTTTACAACCATCAAGAATTTCTGATTTCAGAGCTTTTCGATCAGTCCAAAAGAAATGCCTATCTCCCATCTCTCCCCTCTTGTCTTCCCTTGCAGTGGCTAGTCTGCTTTCTCTCTGTGGGTTTGCCTGCTGTGGACATTTCATGGAAGCAGAATCAGACACCATGTCACTTTCTGTGTTCAGCCTCTTTGATTCTCAGTGTTTCCAGGGTTCATCCATCTTGCAGCATATATCAGTGCTTTATTCTTCCTCACAGCTCCACTGTGTGGCCATGCTGTGTGTTGTTATCCAGTCATCCACAGACATTTGGTTGTTTCCACTTTGGAACTGTTGGAATAGTGCTGCCACAAGCAGTTCATGCACCAGTATTTGTTGGAACACGTGTAGTCAGTTCTCTTGGTTTAGACTTAGGAATAAAATTGCATCTTTTGGTAAACAATGTTTAACTTTTTTGAAAACAGCCAAGCTGTTTTTGAGCAACTTTTATTTGTATTATTTTGCTGATAAACACAATTTTTAGTAGGTCTTTTTTGTTTGTGTATTAGCCAATACCAAAGAAATCGATTCTGAAATTAGTTGTCTATGTTTAATTAAGAAGCCTACCATGTTCTTGAATACTGTGAATATGTCCTTTCTCCTGAAATTAATATAGTCAGTGTAAATCTTAGCACATTTTGCTGTTGTTTGATTGCTATTTATGTGTTTTATATTGGACATGGTACTCTCAGTGCATTTCGAAGACTCAGCATGTGAGGGTAATGAGAAATTTGGAAAACAGTAACATCAACAAAGAAGAATAGCATATCAAAACAAGTCCTACTAAATAAAATACTCAACTTTATTTTTAAAATAGTTACTTAAGCACTGTGGTACTGGCACAATAAACAGTCAGTGAAACAGAACAGAATTCAAAAGACCTAATGCATGAAAAAATAAAATCTCATAAAGATTACATTTCAGGGCCTCCCTGATGGCGCAGTAGGTTAAGATGCAACTTATGAAACTGTCCATAGCCACTGCAGCACGAGTTCGATCCCCGGGCAGGGAGCTACCCATATGGCACAGCAGACCTCTACTGTCTCGCCTGCCACTCCCCTCAGCAGTGTATTTCAGTCAGTCCACCTGTTCTGCTCCCTACTCTGTCTCTGATGAATCCTCTTACCACCCCACACCTCTAGCCTGTACCCCAGTTCTTTTATGCATAAATAAATAAATCTTTAAAATAAAAAAAAAAGATTACATTTTAAAATACTGGGTGGAAAATGGAATGTTAAAAAAATAATCCTCATTATAGTAAAATATATAAGGCCTTTGAAAGTCAGTGATGGGAAAGATAATAAATCTGAGAGCATAAAAAATGAAACAGGCTTCTTAGGTCTTTTAGAAATAGTCTGGTATATAGTTTTACAATATATTTACACATTCATGCTGTTCTTCAAAATTCCTTGCCCTTAAATCTTTTTTTTTTTTTTAAGATTTATTTTTTATTTGTACAAGTTACAGGAGCTGGGGTACAGGCCAGAGGCGTGGGAAGGTGAGAGGATTCACCAGAGACAGAGCGGGGAACAGAACAGGCAGACAGGCTGAAAGCACTGCTGAGGCGATCAGCGGGCGCAACAGGAGAGGTCTGCTGTGCCATGTGGGAATCTCCCTGGCTGGCTAGAAATTGAATCTGCGTTGCAGAGGCTGCAGACAGCTTCACAGCGCCACGCTCAACCTGCTGCGCCACCGGGGAGGCCCTCCTTGCCCTTAAATCTTAAGGACTGAAGGCAAAATACAATTCTCTGAGAATAGCCATGATAAGAATATATAATTGTTAAGTGAACTAGGAACTAAGCACTAACCCCCCTCCATTTGAGTATTTCCTTCAGAAGAAACACAAAAGTGCAACGTTATCCCAGCATCAGACTAGTCGTTGCACATGTCTCATGGATTTATCGAGAGAAAGCATAATATTAAGGTAAAATGTCAGCAACATGTGAATCATTGTGTATGATTTTTGACTTAGTTAGGAAAATGTAAATAGATTTGCCATCAATTTAAATGTCCTTTGGTTGCTGCTTTGGGGGTTGGAAAGCGTGCAGTAATTGGTTGGCGGTAGTGGAATCATGACTCGGTTCTAACACAGCTAAAGTGCTTAGCAAGGAAACTATTTCCTAATTGTATTTCTTTCACCAGACACATCTGCCAGAGCTAGATACACTTTCATCAGAAAGAACCAGGTCCTTTATAACCTGGCTTAGAGAAAACAGACCACTAAGCTCGATTCTTCACGTGGTAAAGTAAGTACTACTGTAACTTTAATTACAAAATTGTGTTAGCCTGTTCAATCTGTGTGAAATTGCTCATCTTAAAAGTGCATTTCACTTAATATCAAAATATGTGGTGGTGGTAGATTGCTATCAGTCGATGAATATCCCATGATGTCCCATTTTCCTAAAGTACCCTTATCTTAGTAATTTTAAAACTATCTAATGACTCTTTAATAATGCATATTTTTAGGTAAATACCATTTTCTCTTTTTCAGAGATGAGAGTCCTGCCAAAACAGAGTTTTTCCAGCATTTGATTGAAGACCGGACAGAAGCTGCATTCTCTTATTACGAATTTTTGGTTCATGTTCAGCAGCAGATTTGTAAGTGAGGTGGCATAACGTTTAATCAAGCGTGAAGACCATGACTTAGGTAAAGCATAATCTGTCAGAGAAGCACATAGACCATTTGGAATGAAGGCATTCCTTGTTACGAGGGACTGTGCGTAGCATCGCACCTGTCTGTGGCTTTGTTAAAAGGTAAAGGGGAGGGAAGGACTTAATGGAGCCTTCAGCCTAAATGAATGGTTATGACGTTGTGATGATGCTGTTTCACCCAGCATGTTTGAATTGGTTTCCACACATTTCCAGTAGTCCAGCAGGTCAGTGCTGCCCATTGTCAGCTGGTAGACTTACGTAGTGAGATGTCATAATGTAAAGTTAGGTAAATTCTTTTTTCTTATAATTAATATAACATTTCTGGACTCATACTCTGACAAGAGATGCCAACAGGCAGTGGTACCTTGGTATTTGTTTATATGAATTACTTTTTAACAAGGAATGATACATGTTCATTAAATGAATTCAATATTTTCCCTGTACAAACAATAGAGTTTCAGTACTCGAACTATAGAGAATATATATAATGTACATAAATGTTACATTTGTAAAGAAATGTAAAAATGTAACTACACAGAAGATGAATTGCTTAAACTGTGCTGCATTGTTGGGTGACAGCTCTTTTCGTCCCAGTTAGAGAATGAGGTTGACTAATGCGTATTATGAATTGAGTCCACAAAAGAAACACAAAACTCTTTGTAATTCTGTTAAATCTTTTATGTGGATTTATTTATGATCAGCCTACTAATTAAAAATATTTTGCTTGACAATGTGGTTTGGTGTTTTTTGTGGGGGGCAGGGAGTTAGTGTGTGGGGTTTTTTTTTTTTTACATGTAGGTAGGATGAATTCAACTCACTGCTTAGAGAAATGCAATGATAACAGTTTAAATTATATGTGAATCAATAGGTTTTCATTAATTTATGGTCATTACTAAGCACTTGTTCTTTCTTGTTCCTAAAGCAAATGCTTCTTGCAAAATATTTATGATTATTGGCTAAGTATAATTTTAATTTATCTTTCTCATTTAAGATGGCATTTTTCTGTTCATTCATAGCAAGAAAGTTTGATATTAATGTGAAAGTTTGATAGTAATGTGACTAACACATTTTATTGACTTTAAGATTACCATCTTGAATTTAATTATTCTGATAAAAAAAATCTCATTTACTACTCTCTCTTTTATGATAAAAAAACTAGTAATGATCCATTACATTGAGGAATAGCATTTTATTTTGCATACTATGGAAGACCCATTAACTTTGAAAGGAAAAAGTCTCTTGATGTGTGCTGAGTGCTTCACTGGTTTGTGTTTGGTAGAATTCTTTTGTCTGAAAGTAAAAAAATATACTATCACATCCCCTGATGTGAGGGGTTAAATGACTCATCTAAAGGACATACTAATTAGTGGCAGAACTAATAGTAAAGCCAATTTTTCACCCCACCGAGCCCCACCCCACCTCCACCACAGAGGAGCTTACCTAGCATCAGGAGAAACTGCAGCATGTGGTTTTATATAGAAAATATGGTGCTACTCTAAGGAGACAAAAACCCTTTTTTCTAGGTATATTTTATTATTTACTGTACATTTATAAGCTCTTAATATTCCCCACATGTTGTTCTAGGCACATCTGTACTTGCAGCAGCGGAGCTGTCCTCTGAGAAAGGGCAAGAACGTGAGCGGGCATGAGCTAGCCGCCCGGAGAGTGAGACCCCCGGAAGGACAAGTGGCGGGTCACAGGGTTGTCGAGCACTCAGGGAGGGCATTTCAGGATGTGAGTCACGAGCTTACATCAGTGAGGCCGGTCAGCAAAGCGGGATCAATGTAAGGGGTCGGTGTAAGGAACAGAGGAACAGGGGACAGGAGAATATATGCAAAGACTGACTGCCTTTTAAGCAAAAGGGGCACAGAATGGCTGATGGAGAGAGAGGGGAAAGGCTGCTTGTTGGGGGTCCCTTTGAGGTCAAGGAGCAGTGAGAGATGCTCCACAAAAGAGAAGCAGGAAAAATAGGATGTGGGAATCTTGAGGTTCAGTTTTAGATGTTGGTAGTGACAAGATCTAGGGTTTGTCCACAGGAGTGGGCGGATGGCTGAGGTGGTGACTGTGATGGGAATAGGATGAGAATTTTCTGGGAGAGCTTTTTTGATAAACATCTATTCCTCCTCAAGTCTGGTGTTCACCATTGGAGTTAGGGGGATGGCCCAGGTGGTACGGAAAAATCCCCTCATCCTAATAGAAATATTGTTTAAAGGGAACATACAATTTGATTTACAGAAATGTTATTTGGATACTACTTTTAAGGAATCCATCTATAGAATAGATGAAGTGCCCCGGGAGAGAAAGAATTCTGTTTTTATATGTTAATGTATATGTGGGCTAAAAAGTATTTGAAAGCTAGTTCTGAACATGAATCTGTGATTGTTAATGCATGAGGCTATGAAATGATCATATTAGCAAAGTCTTGTGTTACTAAAACCATGAATCCTCCTACTCAGAGTGATTTGGAAAACACTGGGAATGCAGTTAAAAAAAAAATAGCTTTGGCACGTGAAACAGACCTGAAAAATCAAAGTGGTGGCTGGACAATTTATGATTCACTCATCTTTTGGTTTTGGTTTCAGAGATGGAACCTGTATGTACAGAAAGTTGGGTGTCTTTCCTGCCTTCTCATAACACCTGTGAGAAATGCATTCAACATAAACAGGTGGTGGGGGGCTGTTTGTCTGGAGGGGAAGGCTGCCTGATGGGGGACACGGGCCTCAGTGCCTCAGCTTCCCATGGGTCAGGAGCTTCTCTGCATACACAGGTCCATTCTTTACTTCCCATTAGTAAACAACAATGCTCACTTCTGTAGATTGTCATGTCATTTTAGGGGGGCAAAAAGCAGTTCTTTCTGATAGCCCACTAAGCAGCTTGTCAGAGATCACTAACACTTGTCTCCACACTTGATATGCAGTGTTTTGTAAGCGTTTGAGACTCTACTGCTCTCCTGCAAAGCCTGGTTCTCGCCCAGAATTTGTAATTTTGCAGAAACTCCCCAATGTGCAAACACGGACACGCTTCCACAGACACAAGTCTGGCAGCTGGCTGACCAACCTCCCGCAGCACGACAGCCTTCTAGAAGCCAGTCAGCATGCCTGGGCAACAGCCGTGTTCTTGGTGGCTCTTCTTGCTTTTGAGGTATGAGTTAGCTCTGCAGTCACTTAAGATTGTGGTAGAAAATTCAGTTCCTGGGTAGTGATGCATGTATGTGTTTTTATACTAGAACTTTCTAGTTTCCTGTGACCAGATTTTCTATTTTTGGTAGAAATCGGGTGATAATGTTTCTGTTGCTAAAAGGGAACCATGTAGAGCCCCCGCCTCTGCCTCGCATGGCCTGCTGCACAGCTCATGTGGCCACGGAAGTGCAGCGTAATCACTGGGTTCTTTCGAAGTTAATAGGTTATCACTTTATAATGTTAAGTCATGTGTTCCAGCCTGTTCTGTTTGGAAGTAAATAATAAGCCATTTCTAAATATTCCTCTCAATTCTTGATTACATAGGAAGTGACTTTAGGGCGGGGGTTGCGTCATGGGTCATTTTGGTTCTCATCCTCCCTCACGCGGCCCTGGGTTCCCATCCGGGACAGGCGGCGTACAGAAACATGGCGTTTTTACTGAATTAAATGACTGGTAAACTCATTATCCTTTCCTCTAATAGAGTCTTTTTCTCAGTGAACAGGAAACAGCTGTAGAACATTGTACCTCTTTGGGAGGCCCTGTTCCGTTTTTTTTTTTTTTTTTTTTTTATAGAGGCATGTTTTTATTTATTTATTTGTTTGTTTGCTTGTTTATACATGCACTGGGTACAGTCAGAAGCGCGGGAGGGTGAGAGAATTCACCAGAGCCAGAGCGAGGAGCAGAGCAGGCAGAAGCGAAGTACACTGCTGAGGGGAGCAGCGGGCGGCAGGAGAGGTCTGCGCGCCATGCGGGACCCTCCTCCGGTGGCCGGGAGCAGCCGGGGATTGAACCGGCGCTGCAGAGGCCGCGGGCAGCTTCGCAACCCAGCGCTCAACCGCTGCGCCACCGGGGAGGCCCCCTGTTCCGTTTTTAATGCAACTTTTTGTGGGATTTTTTCGCTGTTCTTATTCCAGTTTCTGTCAAATCCTACTCCTTCGGGACTTACATCTTATGAGACATTTTACTAGAGTGTGAGACGCTGTGCCCTGCAAACTGTTTTCTATCAATGTGAGAAACTTGTAAGGAACTATTTGCAGAGTCAGGAATGGGAGAGGCAGCTCTCCGCCCTCCTGTGTCTCTGCAGACATCTCTGTCTTAAACCTACCCCTTTTGATATGCAGGTCTTGTCTTTCAAGACTGCCCTTCTGTGTCTATGCAGCCGTCTCTTTCTATAATAAACTTGTCATGTGCTCATGAATGGGGGGAAGAAAGAGTAACGGAGAAATGGAGGAGTAAGAACAGGTAGAAAAGGTCAAACCTTAGAAATGAGTTACTTACTAGCTGTGTCCCCAAGCAAGATGGGGTCTAAAGAGGTACCTTTCCACCAAAGAGACAGAGAGCAGATAGGAACCAGAAAGACAATGTTGACTGTAAAGGAAGACTGAGTGTACCCCATAACAGGGGTGTCCCACCTGCAGACCCTGGCTCCACCCCTGCTTCTCCACTTACCTGAAGAGCCCCTTACACCCCTCCACCAAGCCCCCACATCCTTCAGAACTCAGCCTACGGATTTGCTGGCTGCTGGCTGCCTTTCCTTACCCCCTTTCTGGGGTGGATACACCTGTGTGTTCCCATCACCCCTTCCACGTCTCTCTGTCATAGGGCATACAAATGACACTCACCTTGATATCGGAGCTGTTCTCTTAAGACAGCTGTCGGCTCAGTGCCCCGTCCCTGCCATGGAACAGGCACTCAGTAAATGTGTGTTTAAATCAATTTTAAATGATTGTAAGAGCGAGAATGGATTGAAGACCTGGAGACAAAAGGAAAGAAACAATCCCTTTCGACAAAAGAAACGGCATAGCCTACTGCATGCACAGAAATTGAAGGAAAGTGGGAAAGAGAATGGGACTAGGCCAGAAGGTGGAGCCACTGCTGTGGAGGCTCAGGAGCACTGCACCTCTGTGCTTTCCAGAGGCCAGTTGTCTGGAGCACGGGGCAAGTTCCCCTCCAGAGTCGAAGGAAGTTCCTGCTCTGTGTGTCCCCCTCCCACAAATTGAGGCACAATGCTTATTGCCTCTTTTGGGTCTTGGAAGCTACATAAAACCATCTTGCAGGATGCCACCCTGTCGCCCGAGGAACGTGTGACCCACAGAATAGTCAGAGAAGGCTGTCCAGCAAGGCCCGCTGAAGCACAGACTGCCCCCCGCCACACTTGAGTTTTATTGACCCAGCAGATCTGCGGGTGGTGGAGGGTGGAGGCGGGGGTTAGTTGGCAGGGCAAACACCAGTGCCGTGCGGAGACTCAGGGAATTACAGGCCACCAAAGCGTTTGGGGCATGTTGTGCAAGGTAAGTTTTTGTTTTTGAGACCAGCTCCTAGGTTGCTACTGACCTACAAGACATCAAGTGCCCTCTGTGGTCCAAGCTGATCATGTGTCCAAGCAGCCTATCACTAAACGTGAGGCACTGTAAGCCAGCAGACTCAGCAGGTCCTGGGTCAGGTGCGTGAGCGGTTGGCTCCGACCAGAGACAGTATCCCTGCTGCCCTGCTCTGTCCCTCAACCACCCTGTGGCCTCAGCAGGTATTTCCCTGGGGTCCGCTAACTAAGGGAAAAGAAACAACTTAGTTTTAAGCCAAAATGCTGGCACCAGCTGCACTCCTGCAGTCTAGTGGGAAAGGGAAGTCCTGCTTGGGGACCCTCAAGTGCTACGTCTGTCCAGAGCGTGAGGTGAGGTCCACAGAGCCTCATGGTGGTAGCTCGTGGTCAGGTCAGTGCTCAGGGACTTGGAAGGAACAGGGTTGGAAACTGGTGGCACAGAAGTTTGGAGAACAGGCATTTAGACAGACTTCTTGAAATGAGCAAAGCGTGAAGACACTTGTGTCCGTGTGAATATACATCTAAGGGTGTTTGTAGCTGAAAGTGTCCCCTTGACCAGGTGACTCATCTGTGAATGTTGGCCCTGCCTTCCCCACCAGTGTTTGCTCAGTGGCCTACATAAAAAGTTGCCACCCTGTAAGGATAGAGGCTGTGCATGGGCAAAATGTCATCAGTGTCACCTCCCCAGGGCTGAAGTGGCTGTCACTTCTGTATCCCTAACCTGCCACCTTCTCTGATTTCTCAATATGGTATCATTTCTTGAGAGAACGAGGCAGACACCTGGCTACATGGACCCTTCCATCATGGAACAGCTTGCCTTTCAGCAGGATAGCTGCATTGTCTGAATATGGGCTCCCCTGCCCTGCCTGCAGCATCTGCCAGCACCAGCCTGTTTGCTCACAATGCACTGTCATCATCAGTTAGGACGTCCACAGCATGGCTTCCGGTCAGAGCATTCAATTCCTAGCAAAACAGATGTGGCATCGTGAAATCAGTGGTCCTGCTACAAGCTGTCACCCTACAAAGCAGTGGACCTGATGAAAAGTATATTGACAGCTGGTACACCCTCCCGCAGGGTGCAGACTATACTGGGAGTCTACAACATTGTTCTCCTATAGCCAGAACACACAGGGCTGGGGATCAACATTGGAAGAGGGAACATTGGAAGAGAGAACTCTATCTAGTCACAGAATTTTATGGTCCTCGTTTGCAAAGGACAGATGCTTGCATCAGGCAACATAAAAGTGTTCTTTCTGAATTGGAAGGGATAGCTGCTACTTGGCCATTGGAGTTCCGTATACCAACAGCCAGAGGACATTGATCCTGCTTCTGAAGAGGAGTTCATTTGCTGCTTTATGGCAGAGCAGGGAGGCCACTATCTGGGATCCACAGGACTTTCCAGTGTGCCTCTTAATACTTCCATGTTCAGTTCTAAAATCTCATGGAATAACACAACAACCCAGTGAGAGAAGGGGTCACTGATGACACAGACCCTCCAAAAATTGAGTTATCTCTCCCCCTGGGTAAAGAATGCTAGCCAGCTCTCTGCACTTTGGTAGATAGAAACTGAAAGATCATCCAAGAGGCAGAGGGGCAGCCAATTAGGTATCAGTGATCAAGAAGAACACTGTAGTGGAGTCTGTCACATTCTGTTACATGAACTTGCAGAGACAAAATAGGGGGTTGAGAGTCAAACGAGGAAATTTGAATTCTAGTCCTTCTGCTCAGTATAACCTGGGGCAGTCCCTGTGTTCTGACCCTTGCTGTCCCTACTTGGGATACTTGAGATGCTAAAGCCAGGGTACAAGTTTTGTAAGAACATGTGGAATGAAGTGTTGAATTTCTCATGTAACACCCAGCTGTTGGTGATTGAGTGCTCAACAGAGATGCACAGGCAGACCTGGGGTGTGGAGTCTGCAATGTATATAATCTGGGGACACGCTTGGAAAAAAATAAAAAATAAAAAATTAGGAACATAAAATGGTCATGATAATGAATATTTAGTTAGAGCAAGAAAAGTGGCTAAACCAAGAGGTAAACCAAGAGGCAAGCTGGAATTACCAGAAACTGAGTTGACTGGGGAACAGCAGAGGAATTCACGCTACGGATGAGGCCATTGAAGGTTTGGGATGGGTGGGGGAGGTCAGACAGCACCAGACAGTGATTTTTTTAGTTTGAGGACAGGGAGAGATTCTTGGCTGACATTACTGGTCAGGAGCTAAATGTTAGTCCCCTGTAAATCAGCACTTACAGGGAAGGAGTCAGCCTCTCAGTCCTTCAGATTTATTTTCCTGAGAGCACGTGTGAGATTCTAATTCATATCTTTTAGCTCCATTTTAGATTCAACTCCTGTCACAGGAAACGTCATAAATCACAATTTTCTTTAAAGCACAAAGCCCAGAAAAACAACACTTTAAAAAATTAGTTGCCCTCACCCACATCACTGTATACTTTTTTTGAAGGTTTTTGTCTACGTTCCTTTTAATTGTGTGTTCTTGGGGCAATTTTATAATACTTTCTATGGAAGGAACAAGGAAGATACTCATTTTCTTCTCTAGAATGCTGGCTTTGTTTCATATTATTAATAGTTTAGAAAAGCATCTGTAAACGGGCCTCCCTGGTGACGCAAGGGGTTAAGACTCAGCACCCTGAAGCAATCTGCAGCCATTGCAGTTCGACCCCTGGCCAGGGAGCTGACCCACATGGTGCAGCAGACCTCTCCTGTCTCGCCCGCTGCTCCCCTCGGCAATGTATTTCAGTAGATCTGCCTGTTCCGCTCCCCATTCTGTCTCATAAATCCTCTCACCTCCCCACATCTCTGACCTACACCCCTGTTCTTGTGTGCATAAATAAAATAAATCTTTGGGGGGGAAAAAGATGTCTCTAAAATTTACAACTCTCTATTGGATATGTCATGTCCATCTTTGTGATTGTTATTAAATTGGGGAAGACATTCATAAGTGCTCTCATGTCTGGGCTGTAACTGGAAGAATATGCTAGACTTCTGCATCTGTTCACGTGTCATTTCTTTTGAGTAGTCACACACTTGTGATAACTTGGTTCTGGGGGAGGTCAGCAAATTACTTCAGAGACCCCGTGTATATTCAAAGGGAACGTGTTCTCGGGGATTCTTGTCCGCCCTCAACTCAGCACAGAGATCTTTTCTGTGTACAGGTTGTGGGGATACTGATGAGGAAGAAGTATTCAATGCAAACTAGTTCATAAACACTCCCTACATATGAGTCTTTGCACTCTTGAATCGCTCATCTCAGCTTTCAGAAAAAAATGTTCACAGCTTTATTAAAGCAAAATTTACATACTAGAAATTTCCCTTATTGGAAGTATACAATGAAAGGATTTTCAGCAAATTTACAGATTCATGCAGCAATCAGCCCAAATGGGTTTAGAACATTTCCATAACTCAGATTCCTAGAGCTTATTAGCATCCCTCCAATCCACCTCCAGCCCCAGGCAACTACTGGTCTGCTCTCTGCACCTACAGAGGTGCTTCCCTGGAGTGCTTGTGGAAGTGCTGGTCAGGCAGGTTGTTTCATAGGCCCTTCCTTCCTGTGTGCCTTCCCCTCTCGTCCTCAGGGTTCCATCTTTCCCTGCAGCACTTGACCAGGCGCTTCCTGTCTCTGCATACTGTTATCCTTCCTATTTATAGCCACAGCTTCCAGACTTTCTTAGTCACATCTGTTTTAAGTTTTTCTAGTACTCCCTCTTCCTTTCCATGAGCATAATCTTATTCATTGTTCACTGAGTCTCCAATTCGAAGCAGGTTCTGTTCAAGGTACAAAGGTTAATAAAGTCACGCCTGCATTTATAATCTAGCTGGAGAGCCCGATGTGAGTGCTGGTAAACTCAGTGCGATAAGCTATAAAAGACAGGCACCAAGGGCTGTGGGAGGTTTGGGATAATAATATTTATTGCAGACTTACATGTCAGCAAAGTTGACTTAGATTAAATTTCAAGGCTCTTCACACGTGCAAGTTTTTTTCCAAAGCATGGTAGGGGGAGCTAGCATTAGGTTCACTTGGTCATATTTTTGTAGTATTTTTTAAAGTAAGGTATTTTAATTGGAATCAATTAAAACCACGTCTCTTTGCTCTCCATCCACTCCTCTGTGACACATGCATCCCTCTGTGTCAGGTGAGCGAGTGGCCATGGCCATTTTTAAGATCCAGCAAAGAGTAAGGTGAGTTGGAGATACATTTGTTTTGGGTTTTGTGGGATATTTTTGTGTGACTGTGTATTACGAAGGTATTGCTAGTGGTGCCCATGTAGGAATGGCTTCCAGAAAGTTGTCCTGTCTCCCCTTGGCTCACCTGACCCTGTGCTGTGCCACAGAAGTACAGGGCCAAATGTCTTACTGCAGTATGAATGTGTCCCAGTTACTAGAGAGATGTGACCAGTAAACAAATGATGCTTGAAACAGCAGACCCACAAGTCTAGCATGTTCTTTCAAATGTTACAGCTAAGACATGAAAACATTTAAGATTGTCTTTTCCAATTTAATAACAAAAGATGAACATGACATCTCCAATGGTGAGTTGTAAAGTTTAGAGAAACTTTTCTAAACTGTGAAGCAAAGCAGTCATGCTAGAGAAGAAAATAAGTGTCTTTCCTGTTCCCTCTATAGAAAGTATTATAAAACTGCCCTAAGAACAGGCAATTGAAGGGAATGTAGACAAAAACTTTGAGAACAACACTATGACAGTGGTGTGGAGGGCCAGATTCTGTGCTCCAAAATGAACTCCTTTTATTCTCCATTTCTTTTCTAATAAAGCACTTTTCTCTCCCTCCCCCACAAATCTTTTGGTATAATTGACAAACATAAGGTATGTAAAGTGTCCAACATGTCCCTTTGATCCAGGTCTGCATCGTGAAGGATTCAAGTAACACTTCCATCTCCTCACTTAGTTACCTTGTGATTGTGCTTGTGCTTGTGTATGTATTTTTTAAAGATTTATTTATTTATGCATACAGAACTGGGGCACAGGTCAGAGGTGTAGGGGGTGAGAGGATTCACCAGAGGCAGAGTGGGGAACAGAACAGGCAGGCTGACCGAAGTACACTGCTGAGGGGAGCAGCGGGCAAGTAGGGAGAGGTCTGCTGTGCCATGTGGGTTGCTTCTCGGCTGGCTGGGGGATCAGCTTCATAGGTTGCGTCTTAACCCCTTGCGCCACCAGGGAGGCCAGTTATGCTTGTGTATGTTGAATACAGGTAAGATCTGCAGTTGGCAAACTATAAAATCAAATATAAATTTTATAAATTTTCACAAATCATAGTCCACAAGCACCATTGATACTACGATCTCGGTGCTGTGCCCTAGAGCCTCACAACCTGTTCATCTTCTGCCTGAAAGTTTGGTCCTTTGACTGCATCTCCCAGCCCCTGGGAGTCACTGTCTACCCTCTAGCTCAGGGTTTGACTGTTTTAGATTCCACATGTAAACGAGATAAAGCAGGGATTGTGTTTCTCTGACTGACTTCTCGGAGCATCATGACCCCTGGGTTTATCCATATCATTACAAATAACTGGGTTCCCTTTTTGTGGGTGAATGCTTTTTCATTGTGTATACGTACACAAGTGGTCCTTGACTTAGGAAGGCTTGACTGATTTGTGGGGTTTTTTTTTGTTTTTGTTTTTGTTTTGACTGATGGGGCAAAAGTGATGCACATTCAGTAAAATGGAACTTTGATTTTTGAATTTCAGCCTTTTCCTGGTCTTGTGCTATGTGGTAACATCCTCAACAGGTGCTGGGCAGGGCAGCAGCTACAGCTCCCAGGCAGCCTGGCGATCACAAGGCCGCAAAGGTATGCCACGGGTTCTTTCACCTTCAGTAAGTGTTCCATAAGTGACGTAAGAAATTCAGGACTTTGTTATAAGACAAGCTATATAGACGACATTGCCCAGCTACAGATTAATGGAAGTGGTTGTTGCACATTCCAGTTCAATTAGACTAAGCTATGATGGTCAGAAAATCAGGTGAATTAAGCTTTGTGCAAGCACTGTCCATTGGGCAGACAACAGATTCAGGAGCCATCGATGGGTTTTACAGGCTTTTAATATTGGAGCAGGGAGCCAGGTAACCTGACACACAGACAGGAAGGGTGGGTGCAAGGAGGCAGCAACTGAGCCTTCCACCCCCAACGAATCTCCATGCTTTCTTTCTGGTCCCTTTTGAGTTCTCAATCTCGTGTGGTCTCATGGTCTCTCTCCTAGAGTGACCTGCACTTTCATGGACTCGACTCTGGGCCCAGGTGTCCACACCCCTCACCCTGGGCATCCAAGCTAGCGGAGGGAGGGCACAAAAAAAAAGCCTGATAACTTCATTAACCCTACAAATGTATTTTCACCTTAAGATACTTTCGACTCTCAGAGGTTTATCGGGACAAAACATCATAGTTCAAGAAGACCTGCATGTCACGTTTTGTCTATTCGCCCCTCAGTGGACACGTAGCCAATATGTTGGCTATTGGAGACAAGAAAACCCTGTGCACTGCCCTTGGGAATGTAATTGGGAGCAGCCACTATGGAAAACAGTATGGGGGTTCATCCAAAACTAAAAACAGCAGCTATTCTGCCTGCCTGTGTCCATGCAGGCATTTCTTTTTGCGTTTTCTCTTTGCCTTAATAAACTTGCCTTGTGCTGATCAAAATGAAATAAAAAATAGAGCAGCCATAGATCCAGCAATGCCACAGGAAATGAAACGAGTAATCAAAAAGACAACTGCACTCCAGTTCAGTGCAGCTGCGCTCACGGTGGCCCAGAAGCAAAGTCGTCTTTCTTTGGAGCACTAACTGATGGAAGGACAAGGCTACGATCAGTGTAGAGTCAGGACAGGCCACAGTGCAGGTTTTCTATGATCCAGCAGACCGGGTAAAGGAGGAATCGGAGTCCTCAGTGGTTTTGCAGGTTTTTTATTGGGATTACCAGGTACACGGCAGGCAGGGGTGCTGGGGGGCCGGGAGGCTGGCAGGCCTCCCAGCCCCCAGCAAGTCTTCACTCTATCTGGGCTCTCCGGCCTTCTCTGCTTCTCTCTCGGCTTCTGTTCGTTCTCGGCTTATTGGTTTCTGCTGGCGTCCCCGTGACGCTGTCCTTAGAAGCCCAGTCTCAGCCCAGGTGAATCCCATCTACCTATGCCCACACCCTACCCCAGGTGCCGCCATCAGGCCTGCATTCAGGACCGCAGATCCGTCATTTGTCCTGAGGGCGGGAGGGCAGAAAAGCCTGACATTTTTTACGTTACCCTATAATCAAGTAAATTAACTTGAACTTCATGTTTAAGGTGTCACCCTCTGTCTAGAGCAGTTGTTTTTTGAAAAGCAGATGCCATTTCACACATGCATTTGTCTTCAATGATAAGAAAATGTTTACCACGAGGAAACGCCATCTTTTTTCAATAAAGAAGATAGTGAAGAGATTTGCCCCTTGCGGCTTTGTTCGCCAGCTGGGAGCCATTAACTAAAACTCCCCGCAGATTTAGCAAATAGAAGTACAGGATGCCCAGTTAAATCTGAGTCAGGTAAACAACAGATCTAGTATAACAGCCCGGTTATTTCAGTCTTTAAAAGAAGGGCTGACCCATGCAATGTTCCGGGCATATGTACACTAAAAAAATTATTGCTGTTGGGCTTCCCCGGTGGCGCAGCGGTTGAGCGCTGGGTTGCGAAGCTGCCCGCGGCCTCTGCCGAAGCCAGTTCGATCCCCGGCTGCTCCCCGGCCACCGGAGGAGGGTCCCACATGGCGCGCAGACCTCTCCTGCCGCCCGCTGCTCCCCTCAGCAGTGTACTTCGGTCCCTCTGCCTGCTCTGCTCCCCGCTCTGGCTCTGGTGAATTCTCTCACCCTCCCGCGCCTCTGACTGTACCCAGTGCTTGTGTAAATAAATAAATCTTAAAAAAAAAATTATTGCTGTTTATGTGACATTCAAATGACGGGTCATCCAGTGTGTTATTTAGCAACTCTAGTAAACTATGTCAGAGCACTAGTTTTGTTTTTCTTTTTTTAAGATGTAGGGTTTTTTGGAAAGATTTATTTATTTGTGCATACAAGAACCGGGGTACAAGCCAGAGGTGTGGAGGGTGAGAGGACTCACCAGGGACTGAGTGGGGAGCGGAACAGGCAGACGACTGAAGACACCGCTGAGGGGAGCAGCGGGCGAGACAGGAGAGGTCTGCTGCGCCCTGTGGCCAGCTTCACAGCGGGGCGCTCAACCTCCTGCGCCACCAGGGAGCCCCCCCCCCCATTAGTTCTTTTCATAAACACCCACTCGCTAAAGCTTTGGGCGTTAGGAAGACAGCTCCTTCCAATAAGTGCCTCGAAAGGGCCTCCCCTGGTTGGCCTGGAAGCGAGGGCCAGGCTGTCCCGAGGAGCTCGGAGCCGGCCGCCCGTCGTGGGGACGGGCGCGGGGCAGCCACGCCAGGCCGGCCGGGCCACGCGCCCGGCCCCTCGCGGGAGGCAGAGTCCTGGGGCCCGCTCCCCGCTCGGTGCGCTCAGCCCTGCCTCCCCCAAGATCCCGAGGCCCTTTCCGCCCCCGCCAGCGCCCCTGCCGGGTGCAGCGGACCGGAGGGCGCGCTCTGAGGGCGCCAAGTGCCGGGACAGGCCCGCCCGCGCCCATCCCCGAGACGGCTCGGGGCCCACGGCCGGCGGGGCGCGCGGGGCGGGGCGGGAGGGGCGCGGGCGGGGCTCCCCGCAGCCTTTCCGCGACACGCCCCCTCCCGCCTCCCGTTTTCGGTCGGCGGAGAGAAAAGCGCGGGGCGGGAGCGCCGCGGCCGGGACACACCCTCCGCGGGCCGCCCCCGAGCGCGCGGCGGCCCCTGGCGCGCTGGCTGGAGCGGCCGCCGCGCGCGGAGATGCTGCTGCGGAGGGGCCCCTGGCCGTGGCGCCGGCCGCCCGCCGGGCCCGCGGGGCGAGCGCCCCCGCCGCCGGCCGGGCCGCAGGTGAGACGCGCGGGCGCGGGGCGCGGGCAAAGTTGGCGCGCGCGGCGGGGGCGCCTGCCTGGCGGCCGCGCGCCGAGGCCCCCACAGGTGGTCGCCGGGCGGGAGCCGCGCCCCAGGCCCGCTCCCGGGGCGGGGGCGAGGGCGGGGGGCGCGGGCGGCCTGTCGGGGCGCCGGGCGGGGACCCCGAGAGCGCCGCCCTGCGCGGGGAGGGGAGCGCGGCCGCCCCGAGCCCGGCGGTGAGTCGGGCGCGCGCGGTAACAGTTGTCCCCGCCCGGCGCCGCGTGGGGGTCCGCTGCTGGGGGGGGCGGGGGGCCGGGGGCGGCTCGGTGCCCGCGGGGGGCCCGCAGCCGGGTCCCCGCCCGGAGCCCGCGCCCGCCGGGGCGCGCCGGCCGGTTTGGGCCACACCCGCCGGGAGACGAGTTCCAGATGGCTGGGGAGGCGCAGGCTTGTGCGTCGTGGCCCGCCGCGCCGCGGGGGAGAAGCGCCGAGCCCGGCGACGCGGTCGGGGTGCCACTTTCACTTCCTGCTCCTGGGGGGCTCGCTCTCGCGCAGCGCTCTCGGGGCGTCACTTTGGATCCATGCAGGAGATACAGACGGTTCTAAAACATCTTTCCAGTGTTGGAGAGATGCGGCGGTTCGGGGCTTTGCTCCTGGTGGCCAGGAAAAGAGGCAAACGCCTTAAAATCTGAAATCTGAAACGACCAGAGCCATTGGAGAGGCTTTTTGCGCTTGTAAATTGTACTGGGGAGTCGGAGAGAGACCCAGGAACCCCCTTCACCATGCGCCGTTGAAACGTAAATGATTGAGTTTTCGGTTACATCCATCTAACAATCTGAGGGGCATTTTTCTGGGTCCCCTGACGGGCTGCCCTTTCTTAGATGGTCCAGCCTAAGCCTTTTCCCTTATTTCCCCATCGGACACTGTAGAAGGTGCCGCTTCTCCACCCTGGCCCCCACTGAGGATGCGCTTTTAAAAAAGGTGCAGGGTCCACTGATACATAACTCCCGGGCTGTGCTGTACACCTGAAGTCTCGTTATATGCAGTCACAGTTCAGTGATTTTTTTTTTTTTTTTTTCAGTAAAAGGTGCCACTGGCACGTGATGGCTCTTCACTAGGGCCAGCGGGCAGTACCCAGCCTCAGGGGACCCTCTTCAGGAGCCTGGCACCTCCCAGGTTCTCATTTGCAAGCTTTCTCTCGCGTCGGAATTATCCCTATTATCAAGTCTGATTGTTGAACTTTCTTGGAAATGAAAGTTGTGTCTGAAAATGAAAGTTATTTGTCTGATAAGACTCACAAAAAAAGAGCAGACTTTGCTTCTTTTTATTATGTGTCTTTGAAATGGTACCATAAAGAAACTGACAATCTAAAAATGAAGACCCAAACTAATTTTTTTTTTAAAGGAAGAAAGAACTATCTGGCCTCTTAGGTTCACTGAACCCTTTTTTGTAAAAGAAATGAACTGACCGGGGAGACATTTTTTCACTATAAGGTCTCACCATTTAGTGGTTGCTCCAGCTGACAGGAATAGTGCGGTGGCTAGAGGCAAATGTTATTTCTCTATATTTTTGCCACAGTCATTCAGACCCCTAGAGCCTGTGAAAGCAGCACAAAAAGGAAAAAAAAAAAGAGAGAAAAAATCCCGTCAGGTTTGCAGGGACAGCTCGTGGCTGCTGGGCTGCTTGCCAGGACTTGTCACTAATAGTACGGGAGCAAGCGGTTCCGCCTGCGTTGGGCCTTTTCAGAAAGCGTGAGTGTCCCTTCCAGGAGCGCTGAGTAAGGCACTGCTCCACCTTCTGTGGTAGGAGAATAATTGTCTGCCAGTGTTTTCTGGGCGGGGAAGCAGTTTGTTGGCATGGATACGTGCAGTGTCACAAAAGTGCTTTTTAAAGGACACATTTAGTCCCAAGCACCCTGCGCCAGCAACTTGCGCTGCCCCCCTCAGCCAGCCAGGCCCACAGTCACATCTGCAGGTGTCAGCACTCTGTCTGGCTGTCCCGGAGCCCGGCCTCCTGGGGGACTGTTGTGTTCGAGGACTCTCCAACTATGCGTGTCTAGAATGGTGAATTATCTCTCAACAGAAAGCCCTTTCCTCAGTGTGAATTGTCGCTTTTCTTTTTTTTTTTTTTTTAACTGGTGGACAGGTCAGAGGTGTAGGAGGTGAGAGGATTCACCAGAGACAGAGTGGGGAAGAGGACAGGCAGATAGACTGAAGTACACTGCTGAGGGGAGCAGCGGGCGAGTAAGGAGAGGTCTGACGCGCCATGTGGGTAGCTCCCTGGCCTGCCGGGGATCGAACTTGTGCTGCAGAGGCTGCGGACAGCTTCACAGCACTGTACTTAACCCCTTGCGCCACCAGGGAGACCCAATTGTCGCTTTTCTGCTTTGATCAAGTCCCCCCAGTAGGATTTTAAGTCCCCCAGGACAGCATTGGAGCCCCTACATGACCTGTGTTTCAAACTTAAAATGATCTCCCCATCGGTAGACAGTTGGACCTAGAAGATGTGGCTGTGTCCACACTGGAATACTTTCCAGCCCTCTGGAAAGATGAGGTGCAGCCATTTTCAGCAAAATGGAGGGGGTGGGAGGGAGTTCTATGTGGTAAGGCAAGTAAGCGACAAAACCAGTAGTGGACATTTACCTGTTCAACAAAGCAAGATGCTTCTTAAAACCTAGCAGCAGAGGACCTCCCCGGTGGCGTAGCGGTTGAGCGCTGGGTTGCGAAGCTCCCCGCGACCTCCACGGCGCTGGTTCAATCCCCGGCTGCTCCCTGTCCACCGGAGGAGGGTCCCACATGGTGCGCAGACCTCTCCTGCCGCCCGCTGCTCCCCGCTCTGGCTCTGGTGAATTCTCTCAACAAACAAATAAATAAATAAATAAAATACGTGCCTCTTTAAAAAAAAAAAAACAAAAGACAAAAAACCTAGCAGCAGAGTCGGTATGAAATGCTCCCCTCCCCTTCCTGCCTCCCGCTTGGTGGCTCTGAGTTTAAAGGGGAAGCTGAGGAGCTGGAAAACAAAGTCAAGTGCACTTTGCAGAGAAATTTAAACATCGAGTGTGATTTTTTTCAAACTTCTAGAAACAAAGACTATACATGTTTTAATCCCAGCACCAGATGTTAATTGACGGTTGTATTCTTGTTTGGAATTCAGTAAGCGTGTGGTTTTTGTGTGGTTTTTGTTTGGGGCGTGTCCGCCGTTCTGCCAGGCGTTGGTCTCAGCCCTTCCAGGCGGCTCTGTCGTGAACCGTGAGGCCGTTCCCCCCATCACGTAGGGGTTGTGTTAGAGCTGGGTCTCTCGTGGGTCTTGAACAAGACTTGCCTTTTTCCCGATCGCAGTTTATCAGCAAGGGCTAAGCTGGCAAACCGCTGTGGGTTTGGCTGCTAAGTATGGGTTGAATGAGGCACCCCAGCCGCCCAAGAGGAAAGCCTGGGGCTCCTGCGGGCGCTGCCAGGGCTGCACACGCCCAGTGCTAAGGCTCAGGGAGCAGAAGTGAACAGCTTGTCCTTCCGCTGGCTACGGGCTCTCAGGGTGTCTGAGCGCCAGCCTCACCCTGGCCCCACAGGCCGGAGACCAGTTGGGCCAGTTTCACCCCCTTTTCAAAAACAAAGCATCTTGGCTAAATTGTTCTCTAAATTCCTTTTTGTCTGTTTTACCAGAGGATGTGAGTGTAATACTGGCTAAAATATTGCCCCTGTCAGGCCTGTCTCCCCGGTTGAAAACCCCCCTCTGTGCTCACAGGCAGTGACTCTCGTGGTGGTTGGGCTGAGGGGTTGTCATCACTGTTTCCCTTTACAAAGCAGTTGAAATTTATTTTGTGGGGCAAGCGTGGTGGCGCGAGAGCGATGGAGGCTGGCGGGAAGGCTTCCCGCTGTCACTGCCAGCGCTGCGTCCTAGGACTCCCTGCCTCACGCGTCTTCAGCCAACTGCAGGCCGCGCGCCAGCAGCCAACGGGCAAAACGGTGTTCTCTGGGCCATCGCCCAGTGGGGCTTCTTTCTGGGTCCTGTTAACTTCCCACAATATTATTTTTTCTGGGTTTTCAGATCCATGCCGCTCTCTGCTTGCTAACCTGAACTGTGTGATGGGGAGCCCACACCCAGGTGTTTTTACTGACCTCCCCATATTGTCCAGTCCCTGAAGAAATGACCCTATGAACCGTGACGGTCGGTGACAAGGTGCCCTTTGAGAGCACCCCTGGAGGAAAAGCCTGTCCCGTCTTCGTGTTAGAATCTCTGGGTTTTCCTTGAACTCTGGCTGAAGAAGTGACACTATAAGAGGGGCGTGCAAACTGGGGGGACCCAGTGGACTGTGGTGTGCGGAGGCCTGTGGGTGCTCTCCTGGTGGGTGGGGTAGGCACAGGCACCTGAAGGTGACCTGTTCCCCTCAGTCATATACCCTGCTGTGAACTAACATGACCTCAGTAAAAATGATCATAAAGAAGAATCCTGGGGTGTCTCCTCAGCAGGTGTGCAGTTTACTGGCCCCCAGTTTCCCCCCAACCTGCTGGCAGGCACGGAAGGCCTCAGGACATGTGTCTGGTGTACCTGCCACACGCAGGATTCATCTTTTCCACCTTCATACCCTTTCCCCACAATGATCTATCGGGGGGGAAAAGTGATGCCCAGTAAGGTTTTAGGAAGTTTGTAAAAATCTGCTCTTGATGTCGGCAGGGGGATTGGAGCAGACAGGTCTCTCTGTGGGTCCCGCCAGCTCCCCCTGTACACCCACTCTGGGAACATTGCCAGCCTTGACTCGGGTTGCCTGGAGAATCTAATGTTGATGTTGTGGTTCTGCTTTTCATGGAGATGGGTTGACAGCTGTGTTTCTCTCTGAGCCAAGCAGGCTCTGGAGTTGTTCACTCCTCACCTTTTTTGTTACTACATTTTGTTTCCTTTGTTTCTTCCTACCCTTGACCACCTGTGCTACATCTTCTGGTTCCTTGCAGCCTCCACTAGCCGCACCTGAGTTAAAGTGTAGTGTGGGCCCACTACCCAGACAGGTG